AGCCACATTGTCATATACTGCAGCCACTTAACCAGGTATGGTAGCCTCGTTAGGCCCTGAGCCCTTGAGGTGAGATGTTTATCTTGCACTACAGTGGGGGTAAACCGAAGCATAGGATCAGTGAGTGTCAGTCAGGAACAGCCCAGGCCTAGCATATCTCCTCCAAAGCTGGCCACCTTGGGCCCTGCCAGTGGCTGTTCTTCATGTGTGCTCCTCTGCTCAAGGTGAGCAGTGTGGGGCAGGAGCACAGGAAGACAGGGCAGGTGCTATGGGACCTGCAGAGTAGCTGGGGCTTCTTGATGGATGTGGGCTCCAGATCCTGTGTGGGTGTCAGTAGGGTCTCCCTTATATAGATCAAGAAAGATGCCTCCCTGGGGCCACCAGGGCAGGATAGGAATGGGTACTGTGTATGCCTGGCAGCCCAGCCAGACATAGGGGAATCCATAGCCTGTGTCCCACTGCTGCCTCCCCAGGGTGAGCCAGGCCTGTCCTTTACAGTGCCCACGCTGGTTCAGTCTCAAACTGTCTTTCCTTCACTATCCTGTTGCCTGACTCCCATGCCAGTCCTCACCTTGCCCCCAGATATCCCTGGCCCTATAAAAGGGGCCACAGGAGGACCAGAAGACACTGCTGTGCATGGCTGCCTGAAGTGCAGGGACCTTGTGGTCTGCTGCTGCCCTCGGGTGGGGCAGTGGCAAGGTCAGGGCCTGGATCTTTGCCCAGCATGGGGTTCAGCATTTCCCTTACTTTCCTTCCCTCCTCCTCTTCTTCTGCCCAATCCCTCTCCCCCTCCTCTTCTGCCCTATCATCAACCTTTTTGCCTTTCCACAGCTGGCCGTGTGCTGGACTTGATGAAGCCCGTATTTGAAGGAATGGCTTGATCTACTGTTGTCACCTACATCAATCTAGAATCGAGGTCATGAATACCAAGGTGCAGTCATAGCAAAAACATGGATCTTTGTCCACTTTTCCAAGAGTGGCCCTTCTCAGGCTTATATCATTCCTTCTGAATGCTTCTGACCTGATTTCTATGACATGGAGGATGCGACTAACCAGGGTGACAAGAATAGTGCTCAAAAAATCTCTCCATAAAGAGTAAGCACCATTCTCAAGAAGAAATGCCATATGTATAATAAACACATCAGGTTTAAGTTTAGAACACAAAAAGTCTAATTTCTTTAGCCAAAAACCTATCAGAGGGCCAAACTATGAGCAGAGATGGGAAGGGAGTGGTTGTATGGGTTAAGAAGATGACCCCTGGAACAAATACAAGAAGTATGTTACAGGTACAGTGTAGGTCTGCTTCTGGCCAGGTGTGGTGGCATATGCCTATAATAACAGCACTCTGGGCAGGGAAGGCAGAAGGATTAAAGTTCCAGCCCAGCTTGAGCAATTTAGCAACTCAACAAGACCCAACTTCAAAATAAAAATTAAACAAGGGGAGGAGGTGCTGGAGATGTAACTAGGTGCCAGGTTCCTGGGTTCATTCTTCAGTATTGAAAAGACAAAAGCAATTATGCTGAGCCTAGGCACAGTAGTTAATAATAATGTCAAACAAGGTAGCACAAAAGAAACTCCATTGCAGCTTCCAGATACATGCACACAGGCTCTGCTGGAAAGGAGGGCCTTGATTGCTCCCTGTCCTCTCAGTACCCTGGCATCTGCTCCCATGATGGTCAGCACACAGGCAGAGCAAGGCTAAAGGTTGTTTGATGGAAGCAAAGGGACCGCATATCACTGGGTCAGGAAATGACATACAGAAAACCCACAGACCTTCGCTTACTCACTGGCTCAGTGCAACACCTACTTGGTGAGCAAGCAAGCATTCTGCAGGCACTGGCCCCTCAGGCCCTTTGCTTGGAGTGTTTTGCTGCACTGTCACACTTTCCACGTGCTCTGCTAATAGCAAGGACTTTCCATTATAACTTGTAATGGAAGTCAGAAGTGCAACCCAAGGTGAGAAGAAGATTCTTTTCCCTGTCTGATATCACCAATCTCTAGTTGATGGAAAGTATGACTTTTGATACATTCAACCAACTCACTAAGTTGAGTCTTGTCTCAGAACTTGGAGAAGACAAGGCATCCACCAGCTATTCCAGGAGGTGGTGTCCTGCCTCTCTGTCAGCTCTTTAACAGTCAGGGCTTTACTAGCTTGCCCCACCAATTTATCCAATAAACTAAGCAGCTGAGATCCACACCTTTTGATGTCAAGGCCAGTCTTGTGGAATCAAGAAGAAACAGATCAAATGATTAGCTCCTTCTCTCTGCTCAACAATTTAGTGTGCAGTAGAGTCCTCTCATTTCCCCGGGTGAATTTAGTTAATTAAACAGCTGGGTTCTGTTTAATGTTAGAGATAATGTTGAACTTGATGTTAAATGTTTTCAAAATAGTAAAACTTCAAATGTGTCTTCATCTTAAGACTGCTTTGTTTGAATTCACACTTAGCAATTCTTTAAGGTGCAAGACAGTGTACTGACCAGGAGGAACACCAGAACCGGACTTCCCGGGTTCAAATCCCACCTCTCTCACACTGAGAGTTTTCTCTTTGTGGGCAAACTGTTTGACATACAAATTGGCTAATCTAGAAAATAGGGCTGATGATTAAATGAATTTCTATGAATAAAATCTTGAACATGGTACTTGACACATGGTAACAAAACATGTTAGTGATCACGCGCAAGTATTTAATATATATTTTATATGCACATATGCCTATGGGTGGTTTTTCCCATCCACCTTTAAGATTGTTGAGAAAAGAGATTATGTTTCCTGTGTCTGACTGAGCTTGATCCCAGCGTCTGTCCTCTCTCTTCTCCAGATATCCTCCCCAGGAATCCAGGACCAACAGAGGGAGCTGAAACCCTGGCCACGATTTCTAACTAACCTACATCTAAAATCCCTCTCCCCCAGCTTAGGCTCCTGAATGAATCATAGCCAAGGACAGTATGAGGACCCAAACATTCCTGAAAGTGTGCATACCGGACATTGATATGGCCAGCTAAAGGACATACAACTTCTAAAACACAGAAAGATTCGAATAACGCTGTGGGGGTAATGAGAGGAGAGGTGAGCAGTTGGTAACCAGAAGAGGAAACATATGAGTCAGGGTAAAGAGAAAGGAAGGGTGTGTGTGTGTGTGTGTGTGTGTGTGTGTGTGTGTGTGTGAGGGCGGGGGATTTAGCTCAGCAGCATAAGCACCTGCCTGGCAAGTGCAAGGTTGAGAGTTTGATCTCCGGTACAAAAAAAAAAGTTTAATTTTCACAAGAAGATGGCGAGCTGGAGGTAGAGTCCAAAGCAATGCCAGCAGGCAGGATTTCTGGCCGTTGTTAAGCAGTGAGAGACAGGAGAACAGCAGCAGCTGGTAGCAGCAGCTGCTCTACTAGACTTCTCATCTATACTTGGTGCACCCTGTCCCTTGTCCCCCACGTGGTCACCTCAACCTCCCTCCTGTTTTGCTAGGCTCCTGTGCGCCCCTGAGTGTTACTTCCCGTCGCAGGTGTTATTCTCTCTCATTGGGGAGCTCTAAGCAGTCCAGCACCTTTCCCACAGTTGTCTGCCAGACTGTAAGAGGCTAGAACTGGGATGCTGAATTTACAGAGAACATAGGTATTATTCGGAGCACATGCTCTGGGAGCGAGTGCCTTGTAAAACAGGAGCCCCGCACTTAGGAGTCAGGAGACATGGGTTCAGGAGTGCTTCTGCAGTGGCCTGAAGGCCGGCGTGAGCTGCCTGGGGAACCCTTGCAGCTGGCAAGCTCTGCAACTCGGTGTCTGCTGGGGTGCGGCTGCAGGGAGGCAGTGGGGCTGCAGTCCGTGTGCCCCCCACCTGGAGGAGCTCAGCCAAGAAGTGACTACACGAGACCTTGAGTTATTACGGGGGAGGCCAGGACCGCGCCCAGCAGTGCGGCTGGTCAGCGACTGGAGACCCGCACGCGAGGGCAAGCGGAGCTGCTGCTTACTCCAGGGGCTCAGGATTTGGGCAGGTAGGGGGCGCACCAAGCCGGCCGGCAGAGGCGTTCCCTAGGCGTCCCCGCCCCGCGGCGCCCCGCCCCGCTCATTCGCGGGCCGCGTCAAGCACTGTGGCCCGCAGACTCCACGGCCAGCGCCCTACGCGGGAGGCCGAGGGAGCGCGCGAACGCGCCCTGGGCTCCGCACGGTGAATTGAAGACTGAGGGCGCGGGCGCGGGGCTGACGTGGCGTGCGCGGACGGGGGCGCGGACGCCGACGGCCCGAGAGGCCCGAGCCCCACTGCGCTCTCCCTGGGCGGTCTCCGCGTCGCCAAGTTGCGAGCGACCCCGAGCTGCCGTGGGGGGCGAGTTGGAGCCGGTCGGCCGCGCTCGCCTGGGACTGCGCCGCTTGCAGGAGCCAAGGCTGAGCTCTTGGGCCAGCTGGGTTCCCACGGCAAGCCAGAAATCGCGCGAGCCGAACGTCCCACGCTGCAGCGCATCCCGCGCGCCGTCCCGCTGGCCTCGGCGCCTCGGAGCCGCCCGGCGCCCTCCGCGGCTTCCATATTTGGCCATTTCAGGTTTCCTTTCGCGAGAGCCGTTCCCACTCGTGCGGGCCGAGCGCGGCGTGGAGGGCGGTGACGCGAGGGTCCCGCCCGGCCCCCCACCACCCACCCTGCGGCCCCAGTCCCGGGAGAGAGGCGTCCTGCGCCGTGCGCGCTGATGGTGAGACCAAGGAGCCGGTGAGTGCGACGCCTTCCTCGGGGCTGCGCGCACTGGACTAGAGTTCTAAGACGGAAGTGAAGGAAAGTGGGTGAAGTACTCCAGGGCTGTCCAGGTTCTGGGGCGTGTGAGGTAACACACCGAAGGCTGGTCCGAAACCACCGGTCCCAGCACAGCCGCCAGTTCTGCAGACCACAAAGATAGGATGGTTTGGTGAAAACTCGACCTTTAAACACTACCGCTGCTGACTTCCTTGAATGAGAGGCAGAAATTGCTGCAGGAGGTGGATGTGAGATGGAGCAGCCTCTCCCATAACGGATTTTGTCCTTGTTGTAATCTAGGGAGTGTGTTTGTTCTTTGATCCTGGGCTGCCCCTCTTGTCCTGTGCAAAGGCAGGGTAGGGTCTCCTGTCCCAGTCAGCGTTTAGCAAGGGGTGTGATGGATAGGGGCTGGGGTCTGGAATGTGAAAGGGTAGGATGATTTTTGCTCTGTAGGGCCAGCAGGTGATGGAAGTGAGGAAGAGCTGGGGACCAGCCTCTGGAAGTGTCAGTTGTGATTGGGGCCTCAAGAAGATGATTTGCAGAGTGGGCAAATAGAAACCTGTGAGTCAGTTCCTAGGCACTTAGTCAAGCAAGGATTGTATCTGCTGTCCGGGGAAGACCTTGAAGGAAAAAAAATGATTCCTTGTTGTGAGCTGTTTCCTTTTCAAAGTGCTTTTTCGCTGCTCCTGTCATTTTGTTCTCATTGGGTCCTCAGTGACATCCTTATGAGCTCTCCAGCATTCCCAAAAGGCGAGGGGAGCCCTGCGTGTAAATAACCACTGAACTCTGCCAGAACCATAGGGTTCCAGGTCTCTGCTGAGGCTCCGCACTAACACTGGTTTCTCAGAAAGCAAATCTGCGCACTTCATCCTTGGTGTGAGGAGCCCACAAGGGGACCTAGATCCCCATAGTGCTTGGCCAGTCTGTTCCCAACCACATGAAGCAAGTTCTGCTGCAGATTGTCCCAGGCACAACATGCACAGCTGCCACTCTGTCATCCCTGCTGGCCAAGTGAGCTCAGAACAAGACCTGTGTTTGTTTCTGTGTGTATCCTGGAACTTGCCATAGAGTCAGTTTAAGCAGATCTCTGTGAATTACACTGAATTCATTTGAGATGAGTCTCCCTTGGCCTCTGAGTTCCTGGAACCTGAGTTACCAGGAACACTTACTTAGATCCCAGAAATGAAAATAAAACCACACAGTTTAGCCTAGTTCTGGTAGGAACCCATCAGATGGGCCTCTCATTGCTTCCACAGGAGTGTTTCCCTGTCGGATGGTAGGTGCCATGCCTTCCACTTCACCTGGTTACACAGCTGGGCTCAAAAGTGGTAGGAAAAGGGCCAGGGATACAGCTCAGTGGCACAAGCCCCTGCTTGGCGAGCGCAAGGTCCTGGGTTTGATTCCCCATACCATGAAAAACAAAAACAAAGCGACAACAACAACAACAACAACAAAATGCATTCCACGGAGAAGTGATGTGAAAGCTCTCACAGATCCCAGGGCTGGGCAGGACCCAAGCCAGTCTTCTGACTGCATTTCTTGTGTTCTTCCCACCCTGTCTTCATTAATGGACAGAGGATTCTGAGCAGCAGAATGATGAGAGAATGAGAGGGCTCTCATGGAGTTAAGTAAGGGATGGGTGGGGACATGGTCAGGCTCAGTCCCTGAGGAGCCATCTCTGCCTGAATAGTGGTTCCTCAGTGGATCTTCTTACAGGATCTTAGCCCAGCAGAGCTGTAGCATGTGGAAGTCTGTGCTTGTGCTGGGGCCAGGAGAGAGCATGCTGTAGGACAGAAGCTGTCCCTAGGGCTGGACCAGCACATTTGTTGGAGAACTTTCACTGAGGGACCAGACAGCAGCCTTGATCCATATGGCCTCTGCTAAGCCCTGTGTTATGAGGAAGTGTGGTGGAGAACCAAGGAGATGAAAGTGAAAATGCTTAATTCTGACAGAGAAACTCAGACTCTGTTGACAGTGACAGTGACATACATGTTTTGCATATTGATGTCTGGAGACCTGCGGTAGTGCATGCTTAGTACTATAGCAAAAGCCATGCATCCATGTGACCTGTACATAGCAGGCACACTGCCACATGCATCGGATGTGCAGGTGTGTCCTAGGGCTCTTGTCACCTCCCTCTGCCCCATGCAGAGTGCTCCAGGGATTTCTCCACAGCCTTGTCTTCCCAGTGGGCAAAGATGCACTCCTGCCAACCCAACCAAGAATGCCTTTTGCATCCACTCTGAGTAAGCCACTCCCCAGAGTTGCCTCCATTCCTCTCCCCTCTCCCACAACTGGACCCCTGCTCTCTTGTGCTTCTGCAGCCCCTCTTTTCCCTCCTTCAGCTCCAGCCTACAGTAGGAGGAGCGGGGCCAGCACTTGAGTCCTCTTCCCACATGGTACCAGCACCTGCCCTGCTGCTCCCAATGCCTGGCGTGGTCTCCCAGGGCCTGTTAATCCACTGTCGCCAGCCAGCATTGCAGCTGTCACCATCTCCTTGGAGGCTGTCACTCAATCGCCACTGGTATTCCCAACTTGACCCTGGCTCCTCATCTACCCTGCAAGTACCAGTGGAGACCAAGACCACACCAACATCCACAGGTCAGCTTCTAGTCCCTGGCTGTTCCTGTGCTTCATGTCATTCTGGGGCTTAAGTCCACACTTGTTCTGGGGCCTCCCCTAGGTGCACACATGGAAGAGAAAACCAAGTTCCTTTTTCTTATGCATCTCTATTCTTTTTTTTTTTTTTTGTATGAGGGCTCAAACTCATGACCTGAGCTTGTCAGGCACTTATGCTGCTGAGCTAAATCTCTGGCCTTTGCATCTCTATTTTTGACCACATAGATTTCTGACATTTCAGGAATTCTTTAGGCACTGGTCCCAAACCACCTCTTCCTCAGCTGCTGTAGAGACCACTGCTGTTCCTAAGTCCCTTTTGTCATGTCTGTTCTAGCCAGAACTGAGCTAGTTTATTCCACAATCAGGGCTTCACAACCCCTTCCTGGATGATCTGAATTACCCACTCACTTCCTGCTCACGCCTCTCCATGTTTTGTGCTCCACACCCAGCTGACAGCCTCCTTATTACATGACCTAATCAATGGGAGAGTAAGAAATAGCATGGGTTCCAGAAGCTTGCTGGAATTGCAAATTTATGACTTAGTTGTAGTGGTATGGTTGAGGCAGGTTGCCCAGCTTCCACAAGTGCTGATATTCACTGGTGAGCAGATGTGGTAATGTGTCTTACTTGGGGTTGCTGGAAGGATTAGACAAGCCAGTTTATAACAGGCTAAGTGCCTGGCACGTATTAAGTAAAGTTAGCTTTTTTTCTTCCATATTTTTAATAGCACTAGAGATGGTGGGGTCTCTGGGAGCTGGAAAATGTATGCCTAGCCTTTTAAAGGCTCTGGAATTTAAGTTAAAAGCAGACAAGCAAAAGAACTCCCAGATGATGGTGCCAGGGCAGAGCATCTTTTAAGCTATGCTGTTTTGTCACTTTGCAGTCTTTTGACCGGGTGTACCTCACAGGCCGGGTCAGGGACCTGTAGTAAGCAGGGCACGAGCCGTGGGCAGCAGCATCAGAGGCCAATGCCTGGGCTCCAGGCAGGAGTCCAGTCCTCGGGAAGACTTGTGTGTAGAAAAGGTTGCAGCTTTGAGGAAGAATATGGCCTGGCAGGAAGTGAGTACAAGGACCTCACAGGAAAAATCAAATAGATTTGGGTAGTGAAGTGGCTCTGGGCTAAGGATACAGCTCAGCGGCGCAACACTTGCCTGTATGAGGTCCTGAATTAGAGTTCCTATACAAAAAAGATGAAGAAGAAAAAGAAAAGAAATAGCGGCTCTGGCTTGCTTACCAGGAACGGAGAGGTTACCTCAGTGGGCTTTCAGCTGGGGAGCCAGACCAGGATGAGGTTGATCATCACTACTAGGTCACTACTAGGGCCTTTCTGTCCTCCCTCTTGGAGGCCAGTGGTGCAGAGCAGCCAGGCCATGTGTTGAGCCTTCTGTAAGGGAGGCCCTGGGCCCGGGGGTGTTAGCAGGTTGGTGGGCAAAGCCAGGCAGAATCTTGAAGGCCCCTCTCTGCTTTCGCACTGTAAGTGTTCTAGGGGGGAGCCAGGCAGATACCCTGTAGTACTACCGTGGGAAACTTGCCATCCCTCCCAAGTCAGCAGAGAGCAGAGGCTTGCAGGATGATGAGACACAGATGAAAAAGGTGGTTTTCATAGTGGGCGAGAGTGGGTGGGGCTGGAGAGTAGCAGGCAGGATGTACCTGTGGGTTATGACTGGATATGAGGTTGGAGAGGAGGCATCACGATGAACGATGCCAGTTTCCTGGTGACAGTGGCAGTATGGAAAGACATCTTTCCTGAGAGAGAGAGAGAGCGAGCGAACTCTGCAGCAGCCCAGGAGAAGAGATGAGCCCTGAGTGGGACTGAAGGCCTTGCAAATGTTCATAGGAAGCCCTGATGCGGGAGGGAGTAGAAGGTCCAGACAGGGCTGCGGGGGCAGAGGATAGGCAGCAGCTGTCCGCTTACTGACGGTCGTCCATGCCAGCTCAGTGCATCTAGGGAAGCTGCTTGAAAGTGTTTGTTGGATGTAGGGAGTTGGGGACTCACTAGAAGTCACTAGGGACTTTGGGGAGAGTAGTTTGGGGATGGTGAGCATAGAAGCTAGGTTGAGTGGGAGATAGGCAAGCAGTGGGAGGTGGGCAAAGTCAAGAAGTTTGGCTATGGGTGGGGGGAGAGGGTGGGGTTCAGGGAAATCTGAGAGTAAGGTTGCATCTCTCTTTTTCTTAGGAGAGGCTGATGGTAAGGCCACTCTGTAGAGGTGAGTATGGCTCTGTATGCGAAGGTCCCAGGGAGTGGGGCAGGAGTCCAGGACAGGCAAGGCCAGCTGAGAAGGTTAGTGTAATTCAGAGGTCACCTCTGTAACCACCTGGGAGGAAGAGGGCCAAGAAGGGGACCATATAGGGAGATATCAAGTCGGTTGGCCGGAAATAGAGGTCGTTCTAATCTGATGACTTCTGTTTTTCCTGTGTGGTAGGAAGTGAAGTTTCCTCGTAAGACTGGAGGGAGTGGTCAGGTTTGTGGGGAAGAAAAGAGATTTTAAATAGATGCTGAAACCATGAAGGAGCCAAAAGCAAATGCTTTCCTTGCACCTGTAAACTTGATGACATTCTCAAAAGGAATCTTGCTAATAGATCTGGGTTTCTGGTACCTGCTGCAGTGGCTGGCACCTATGTGAGGACCCACGAGTACGTGCTGGGTCTACCCATGTACATCCTCTTGAGACTTTCCCCCTTGCCCAGGTCCCCAGTTCCCTTAACCAGAGCCCACACTAGGGGCTGTGTGAATGAGGAGCCCTGCTCTGGCCCTGCCTTTCCAGCACCTGGGAGCTAGGCCCTCCTTCCTCTTTCCTTTTGCCCATCCCAGGGCAGCCTTCTTTAGCCAAGCTTACCCTCTCTAGCTGTAACAGGTACAGGACTTACAGACATGAAAAGTTTTAGGAATGTCAGAGGCTGCCTGCCTTCTGTAGAATACTGTGATGGCACAGACTTTCAGTCAGGATTTATTGAGCACCTAGAATGTGCATTGCTCTAAAGGTTGGAACCTTAGTAAATAAGAGAGGCAGTCCCCATTGTTGCGAGTTCAAGACCAACCTGGGCTACAAAGTGAGCTCAAGTCCAGCCTGAACTGTATAGTGAGATCCCATCTCAAAAAAACAAACAAACAAAAAAAAGAGGCAAACCCTGTTGTCTCAGAACGTGTTTTCTGCTAGCAGAACACAGGGAATGAAATGAGTGCTTTGGTGAGAGATTCAGAGGGTAATGAGAGTGGCAGGAGAATCCAGTTTCCTCAGGGGTGGCAGTGAAGGCCTCACTAGGGAGGCAACATCTAAGCAGCAGCATGAGGCAAAGAACAAGCCTTTCAGGCTTGGAAGTAGCAACGGTGGTGTGTGCACTTAGGGAGGCTGAGGCAGCAGGGGGATTCGCAAGTTCAAGTCCCACCCAGCTGGGCAACTTAGTGAAACTGTCTCAGAATCAAAAATTTTTGTAAAAGGAGCTGAGGTAGAATGCCCCTGGATTAGATGCCTAGTACCAGGGGTGGAGGAAAAAGGCCATTGCTAGTAGAGTGAGTGGGTGGGGGAAAGCACTAGGAAGTGAGGACGCGGATAACAGAAGGCCATGTCACAGTGACCCTGATTACAGACGCCGGCTGCTGCCCTGAGTATTAGGACAGCTGTAGCACAAGAGTGACGGGCTTGTCTTCTGTTCTTCAGATGGTCACTCCAGCTGCTGGACTGTAAAAGTACAACACTAGGAGACCAGCGAGGCAGTGCAGTGTGGGAGCTGGGGAGGCTCAGACAGTTACAATGGAAATCAGTATGGAGATTCCTCAAAAATCTAAAACTATAAATTCCATTTGACCCAGCTATTTCCTTTCTAGGTACCTTCCCAAAAGAATTAAAGATATCATACCACAGTGATCCATGCACACCCATGTTCATAGCAGCACAGTTCGTAAAAACTAAATCTTGGAAGCAGCCTATATATCCATCAACATGATTGGATAAAGAAATATGATATTTATCATCTTGAATTTTGTTTTTACATTATGTATTATGTCCATCCTTTTGATTTGACTGACTCTGTTTTGTTATGTCGCATTTGGTTTTATTATCCTCAAAAAAAGGTAATAAGAACTGTGGGAGTAATAAAACCCAAAATGTGTAATTGTCATTGTACAAAAGAGAGGAAAAGAAAGTGCTCTAAAGGATATAACTGCATGTATATTTAAGTGTGTAAAATACATAACCATATTATTGAGTTTTGTTGGATCATTGAACAGAACTGTTTGCAGTCTCACTGTTACAATGTCCACTTTATATGCTTTAATTTTGTAACTTGAATAACTATTTCTAAGATGACAATATGTAATCTCTTAACCAGTAATTTCCTACTGTTTATTTTTCCTGAAATTCTGTATAACTTGTACTCTTTTTCTTTTTCTCCTTAAATAAAATATAAAAAAAGAAATATGATATTTACACAGTGAAATACTACTCTGCCATAAAGAAGGATAAACTTGATATTTGTAGAAAAATGGACACACATTGAGGCCACAATGTTGGATAAAGTAAAGCAAACATACAAGCTTAAATAATGCATGGTTTGTCTCATAGGAGAAACCTAAACTATTAAATAAGTTGAAAATAAAAGACAGACAGAAAAAAATGAAAGAGGAAAAAAAAGTTACTACAATCCAATATACCGAAAAGTACACCTTGATTTACTGTAATTGTATTATATGATTTATATGTTTAACATATATGTTTTATTTCCTATTAGTCTGGCTCTTAATCTGTATACTTGATACTTGTTATAGACTTATATTTTGGTACTTGATAAAGATTTATATTTTACTGAGCCTGGCAAAAAAAAAAAAAAAAAAAAGAGAAAAAAATTTTTAAATGTGGGTTAAGCCGAGGGGATTGTAATATGTTATGTACATGTACCAGCTCCCCACAATGAATGTAATCATTATGTACTATGGACATATACTATTAAAATAAAAGAAAGAAATCAGAGAAGTACTAGCCAATGATGCTGTGTAAGCCAGGAGCTTCAGTGAGCTCACCCTCACTGAGAGAAGAGGTAGAGGAGAGAGGAGGTCCAGTACCACCCAGAGCCCAAGAGGGTGAGGAGGAGAGCCCTGGAGCTCTCAGTGATCCACTGTGCTTCTCTATCACAGCTGTAGAACCAGCCTTTTGGTTGCTGCTGAGATCCTTGTGCTGAAGCATATTGAGATAGGCTTAGCCTCCTCAAATGGAGATCTGTTCTTTTGCAGTTGTGCAGTGGTGCAGGTTCTTTTTTTGGATGGATTGAACTTGAGACATTTGCACTAAGCTACTTAAACTTTTTAATTTTGAAATAGTATCCATAAGTCACTAAATTGCCTAGGCTGGTCTCAAACTGAGATCCTTCTGCCTCAGCCTCTCAGAGTGCTGGTATTGCAGGCATGTACAACCTTCTCCAGTTTATGGGGAGGATTCTTAGGCGGTACATATGGGACCTCACAGCTATAAGCATGACTAGTTTGTGTACAGCTTGTGCACAGATGTGATTCCCACCTGGGCCGAAAACCCCTTGGGAACAAGAGCTGTTGAACAAGCCCTCCTTCTACAGAATAAGATACAAGGCTCTGCCTGCAGCAGGCACTAAGTAAATCTGGCTATGCGGAAAGAGTAGATATGCACAGCTATTAAATGTTTCTTTGTGTGCCAGACACTGTGTGCTAGTAATTTATGTACATTTAACACCTTTAATATTAACTCCAAGCCTTTAAGCCCTTTTATTGTCACATTTTCCAGATGGGGAAAGAATGCACAGGTCAGTAAGTAGCAGAAGGCTGACACCAGAGTGAGTCTCTAACCAGCAGGCGCACCAACTATTGAGGCCTTCCATTGGGTGTTGGTTGACACGTGGTACTTTGTCATCCATGGCACAAATTAAAGGCCAAAGGATTTGAAGTCAAAGTTTATACAAGTTAAGCATCCCTAGACCAAAAACCTGAAATCTGAAGAGCGCCAAAATCTAACTTTTGGAATACTGACTTGACACAAGTAGACAATTCCACACCATGAAACTTGAGACTGTAATGCATAAAAGTATTAAAGATACTCTGTAAGTACTTCTAGGCTATGTGTTTATAAACCATAAACAGATTTAGACTTGGATTCATTCCCAAGATATATTTTGTTATATATATGCAAATGTTTCAAAATTCAACTGTCCAAAATCTGATCGCCTTGCCTTCTGGAGCTGGGCAAGTTCCTGTAAACCTGTACTTAAATTTCTGCTTCTGGCTAGCTTTCTGACCTCAGGCAAGTTGCTTAACAATTTGAAGCCTTGGCATTTCATTGTAAATGTGACAAGAATAATATAGCCACGGGCTTAGTAGAGGTCTTCTTATGCTATTATACATAAAGATCAAGCTGGAAAGTACTACTGTATGTTAGGTGTCATCCTCATGGTCCTTGTCCTAGAGAATCAAGCCAAGGTTCCCTTATCACCTTGAAGAGCCACTAGAGGGTTGAGGAGCATACTGCAGCCACAGGCCCTGCCTCAACTTGTTGCTGCCTCTCTGCACTCCTTGTTATTGGTATTTCCACGAGATTTGGTTCAGTGAGCTTCATGGTTTCTTTTTTTTTTCAAGTCCTGGCTAGCTGATTGTGTAAATCTTTCCAGAGCTGACTGGCTCAGTTGGGAGAAAAAGGAGCCAGTCCCCAGACTTCCCTTGCTTCTCTCGTGTCTGACCTCTGGGCTCCCCACCTGCTCTTCCTCTTGTGTGCCAACAGTTGATGTCAGGTGTTGTCCCCAGGGGGCTACCTTTTTGGATCCAGCTCTTAGAATGCTCTGCTGTGTATACTGGGGGTCTAGGTGTGCCTGGGGACAGACCCCAAAAAGCCTCTTTCCAAGGCTGGGCTGAAGGTGCCACGTCTGCTCCTCTGCTTCCTGGAGCCAGGGCTGGTAGTGACTTTTCTGATGTTAGAAGGAGGTTGCCCCGTCTGCTTCTCTCAGGTGCTGCCTTATGCCCTGGCCTTGGAGTCCCAGCTCTGGCTGTGGACACCCCGCTGTAGACATCACATGGCAGTGGTCCTCTTTGGATCTGCAAACCCATCTCTGAAGCTGAACAAAAGCAGCTGTGGGTGTACATGTGGCTGTGTGTGGGAGAGGACAGGGCCCGACTAGGATGGTGTTGACCTTCAGTGTCCCAGACCAAAGGTCTTGGTCAAGCCAAGGCTTCTGAATACAGCAGCTTGCCTTCTCCCACAGAGATATGTTCCTAGGACCTCCATGCCTGAAACTTGAGAGTGTCCTGAATTCCCTAGATACTATGTTCTTTTCTGTATATACACATCTATCATAAGTTTTAATTTATAAATTAGCAACAGTGAACAATAACACTACAGTTCTAATAATACGCTGTGATAAGATTGTGAGTGTCGCTTCTCTTGCATGTGGGTACTAGTATGAAGTAAAATAAGGGGTGCTTGAAAGCAGATACTGCAAAATGGTGACAGTTGATGTGCTGAGGTGGCTGCCCAGTGAACGAAGGAGCTGGTAGCATGGAGAGCATGGAGGTGCCAGACAGAGGGATGTTTCACACCAGGCACTCAAAGTGGTGTACGACTCAAAACTCATAAATTGCTCATTTCTGGAATTTTCCATTTTAGTATTTTCAGATGTTGGTTGATCACAGATGTCTGTTCATTGCACAACCATGGCTGTGGGAGATGACTGTATCCATTGGTCTGTCTATCCCAGAGCCTGCTTTGGGGCTCTCTCCTTCCTCCGGGATATCCTTGGGCCCTGGAGAAAGGGGATGAGTTCTTGTTTGAAAATATGTTTGAGGCTTTTTGCTATCATACTTATTTGTCTTTTTTGTTTCTTGTTTTTCTAGTAATTCATTTTGTTTTGTTTTTCCCTCTAATGCATAAAATATAGATGTACATGTAGAGGGTTATACATGCCTAGGACTTCTAAACAGTTTACAAGAATCGATTAATATTATGTATGATGAAATGAATAGCTACTTTGAAGAAAAAGACATTATGGTAGCCATTGCTGATTTCCTGTCATTGTGCTGTGAAACCCAGTAATGCTTTTATTCTTTGTTTAGAATGATTTTAGTCTGTCTTATATTACTTAATTTCAACATATTAGGAATAGACAGGTATTTTGAAGAGAACAAGAGACATTACAGTAGCCATTGTTGATTTTCCTATTGTCTGGTTTTGAAGGTTTGTAATGTTTCATTACCCTGCTTTGATCAGTTTTATACTATTTTGTCTTGTATGAATTCATTGCATGTGAAGATATAGACAACTATTTAGAAGAAAAAAAGAGATATTATGGTAGCCACTGTTGATCTCCTGTTGTCTTGCTTTGAAATCCTGTGTCACTTAAATTGGTTTCTTCTGATTTGCTTTGTTCTGTTTTCTTATGTTTTGTTTTACCCTCTTTAAAGTTAAAAAAGAAAGAAAGAAAAATACATTTGGGAGCTGAGGATTTAGTTCAGCAGATTTGTAAGTGCCTATCTGGCAAGCACGAGGTCCCCGATATCAAAAACAAGACAACAACAACAAAACATTTAAATTCTAGGAGAAATCTAAAAGTGGTATTTAGGGGCTGTGTGTATCCAGGCTTCCATGTCACAGAGCCACTGGACTCATTTTCTGAGGGTGCGAGGGAATACCATGGTCAGGAAGGAAAGAGGGCAGAGAATGTGAACCGAGGATGGTAGTCCATAACTTCATGAAAGAGGTACCCTCCATAGATGGTTGAGCTAGGGAAGAAGCAGCCTTTCTAAGGAAAGGCAGGAGATGTTCCTGCCTGGGGAGCACCAAAGGAAGTAGTTCCCTAGGGGTGTGGTCAGAGCTGGAGGAGAACCAAAAAAATACCACCACCACCACCCACCCCTGCCAAGGGCTCGGGGAGTTTCAGGAAGGGAGTGGCAACTGCCACTACAGGGTAAAAGGGCAGTGATTTGGAAGTCTCATGGGCAGATCTGATTAAATGGTATAATTTAGAGCATGGGTAGAGCATGGGTCTTCAGGTGTATGTAAAATATGAGTTGTGATAAAAATTATAGTGGATGTTTAAATTTGAAAAATGTCTGACAGTAAATGATATATCATTTAATCCTCCTTAAGATTCTCTCCCCACTTGAACATACTAAGTTCATCATGCTTGGCACTTTCTGAAGCATTCTGGAGTCTCTTTTGTGAGGTGTGATCAAACATACAGTGAGTGCTGCTGCTGAGTACTATCCAATGAAAAGGTGAGCTTGTGAAAACATTACAGTGTATCCTCATCTACTTATGAAGAATTGGCAACTTCTGGCTCTTCCCTAGCATCAAAATGACCCTGCAAGACAAACATTTTGAGTGAATTTCAGGGCATCGAGGCAGCTGTGCTAATGCAGCTAACCACAGGAATATGCTCAGCTTGGTGTGTAGAAGTGAATGAAAGCTGCCAGAACCAGTCCAGTCCACCCAGGAGGTCACAGTTGTGTCCTGAGCCTTAAGAAATATTTGGACTGTGAAACAAAGGAACGGATAACAGGGTGGGCTCATAGGACTTGTATACCCAGCATGTTCCGTTCTGGACTGGACAAGGGACAGGGTACAGAAAAAGCAGGATCCATTCTGGCAAGCAGGCGGATGGGGAAAACAAAGCATAGAAAGAAGGTAAGGAGGAGGCAAATGTGTTTTGCCTAGTTAAGTCCTTCTGCTTAAATAGGTGTCTTCAGGAAGAAGCAATAGGCTTTCTCCCTGCAAAGCTCCTGACTTTTCTCCCTTCGCCACACTTTTCTCTGCCTCTGCTCAGAGATGTAAGCCCAAACCCTGGGAGTCAGTCAGTTTCCTTTGCTGCTGTCAAGCTTTGAGTTCTCTCTGCTGAGAACATGCATCCTACATCCCCCAGGTCATCACCACCACAGCCCCGGCCATACTTTCTGTCCCCATCTGGGCAGTCCCAGCCTCCTCTTCTTCCCCTACTGTCCCCAACCCTTCTGCCCATTCGCCATTCAGCATGTGGAGTAGTCTTTTCCATTTTCACCAGAGACTTCCTAAAATGTGCATGCCTTCCCTGGTCCACCAGGCACTCCCCTCCACTGCACCCGTTGGCACTTAGGCAGCACTGCCCCACTTCTGATTCTCAGAAGCAGCCAGCTCTGTCCCAGAACTGACCTCTGCCCCTGCTGCTCCTTCCACACTCCTCACACTTGCTGCTCAGGTGTCCCCTCCTCAGTGAGGCCTTCTGTCTAAAGTGATATCCTGTTTAGTCTTCAGAGACCTATCACAACCTGTAGTTGCACCTCTGTTTACTCCTTTGTCTCCTTGGCGAGGGTATAAATAGCCCAGGACCAGTTCAGGGCATCTGTCCTGCCTGGCCCGGCCCCTGAGCTCGATATTGCCAATGCCTGGCACCATCAGGCAATCCAGTCGTGGTCAGAGTCAGAGTTGGTGCTGGAGGGGCTTGGCAGCAGGTGCTCAGCCACCATTAGAGCCCTTGCCACTCACTGCTGTCAGAAGCTCTTCATGCACAGGGCTGTGGAGATTATAGACTCCTGTGAACAACCAGATAATAACTGTGTTAGGCTTTGTGGACAGGTGATATGGTCAGGGTCACAACTAATAAACTGCCGAGATGCTGTGCAAGCAACCACAGGCAGTGTGTAAACAAGTGAAGGTGGGCTGTGCTTTGGTAAAATTTATTTACAGAAAGGAGATGGGTCAACCATCTACTGAGGCAAAAGAGTATCTGTGAGAGATTGCTGTTACCTAGAGATTGCTGTTACCATCATTGCTTGCCATGCCCTGCAGTAAGACTTCTCCAGGCCTCAATTTCCTCACTTAGAAAGCAGGGACTGGTGATAATAGATATGCTATTGTTATGGTTCAGGTGAGCCAAGCATGTGTATTTGCAGCCTCCAGCACTGGAGCTTATGGTCCCTGTGCATCACTGCAGACCATCTGCTCCCCCTCCCCCCAAGGCAGAACTGCTCTGAGTTCTTTTCATGGCTCTGAATCTGGCTGCTCTTCTGCTCTGTGACCTTGCACAGTGCTTTGTTTTACTTCTTTTTCTCTTGATTTCAGTCCTGAGAGCAAATCTAAAAGTCCTACTGGATATGCTGATTTGTCTGATGCAGGCTCTGGATGCTCAGAGGAGCAGAGAGTGGCCCCCAAAGTCTCTCTGCATGGGGGGGGGTGCCAGACCTGCAGTGCCTGGGTGGGTGACCAGTGAGCAGCTGGGCCTTCAGTCTGTACCCACTTCTCTCCACCAGTGTCACTTGCTCCACTTTGAGGAAAATGAGGAACTAGAGGTTTCCTGACAGCATGGCGAGAAATCACACTTCTCTCTTTTCTTCTAACAAATTAAAATCACACCCACAACATTCTTGTAATCCAGAAAGTTATATTTGAAATCGCATAGAAATGTTATTGGAATTCCAGTGAGTTAATTCCAGTCTGCTACCTCCAGTGCAAACCACCATGAAATAAAGACACTGAGACATAGTCCAAGTTCTGGGCAGCCAAAGGGTCCTAAGTCCCATCTAAGTGAGGATATATAGACAAAGGCCTTGATCCAGGGCCTCTCCCAGAATTTATTTGTTGTAGAGAAAGGAGTGGTTCAAGGATGAGTGGCAGGATGGCAGGAACTATGTAAGTAACTTGAGCGGGTTAGCCAGGTAGGGAGAAAAGCATCTGTGCAATATTCAAGGAGAATGATGTGCAGAAGGATCAGTCTGCATAACTCAGTTAGGGTAACATTCGAATTGTTTCAGTTTCTGATATGTAAACTTTTGTGTCCTGGGGAGTCATAGCCTCTTACTTTGAGGCTTGAACCCAGGTGACATTCCTGGAGCTGACTGGCTCTGCTATTCCACTGTAGTTCAATGAACACAATGCCAGGAAATAGAAAACTGTCAGGCTGGCCCCAAGGATTACATATACCTTAGCCAGCCTATTTGTATTGCTTATAGCCAATTGAAGGGTAAAGGAAATGCCATAGTCAGCTCTGGACATATCAGTGCATGGAAACAAGTCTTCGTTTGACTAATGCTGAAGTAGTTGTTCTGCATTCAAGGGGATCCACTCAAATTGGCTCCTACAGTCATCTCCCATGCTCCTGTCCCTTAACCTTCCCTGAGAATCCACTTCTAAACCTGTATATTTTATCTCATGAATGCTTCATGATGGGTCCTGCCCCATTTAGGGTGTTCCTGTCTGCTTTTTATACCAAGTCTTTTCCCATAAGGCAACATGGCCACCTTTCATCCCACTTAAAAACCTTGGCACCATGGGCTGGAGTGTTTATTCCTGTTTGTGGTGTTCATTCTGGGCTCAGCACCAGATTCTCCTACTCTTGTTGCATACTGACAACTCACAGACCTTTGGAGGTGTTTCTGGCAGTGAGCCAAGGTGCACAGAAGTCAGGTACAATGGAAAAGATGGAAGCCAAACAGGAGACTGAAATGGGGGCTATGTGAGATGAGCCACAGTAGACTGTCTAGAGGGACTGTGCTGCGCTGACCTTGCAGGGAAGTCAGGAGGACACCAGGTCATGTTGAAGTGCTGCCCAGTGCCACAGAATCAAGGCGAGGTCCCTTGACTTCTCTATCCTTCCATATCCATCTCCTGCCAGGGCCTCTCACTAGCTGAACCCAACTGAAAGCTAGGGAGCCTCGGAGACAGATTTTGAGGGGTGTACCTTCGTCCCATGTCTTTCACTTTCCTGTTGCTAGGACAAAATGCCAGACACCCACACCTTAAAGGAAATGGATTTTGGCTCACAGTTTGCAGAACTTTTAGTTCATGGTTAGCTGGCTCTGAGGTCCAAGGCAGAGTGGTTTGGTGGAAGGGCCTGGGCAGAAGAGACTGGTCACCTTATGGCACCTGGGAAATACAGGAAAGGAAGGAATGGAGATGCAGCCTCCCTGGTCTGGTCCCCAGCGGCTGTTTCCTTCAAGCAGTCTGCCTGTCAACAGCAAACCAGCTATGCTGCCCCCATAATCCAGTCCCCATCCACACCAGGAGAGCAGACAGAAATAGGATGCTGTCATGGCAGTGATAGCTTAGACCCCGGAATAATATCCAAGGAAGCAAGAAATTAAGAAATTTAGAGCAAAGGCTTTATTTTAGGCCAGGCCTGGCGACCCAGCCTCCAGTAGCCAATATGGAAGACTGCGCACCTAACAGCTAAAGGGCAGGGTTTTTATCTTGTAAAACCGCAAATAGCTGCTGGTCTCACAAGGCAAGGAGTGGGGTGGGTTTGTGGCGCACTACAGAACAGGAACATGGCGATTACATTTCTTGGGAAGAGTAAGGTTCAGGCAAGGGTTGGGCTAACAAGCAAGTTTAGATTAGGCAAACCTCCTCTGGGGGAAGGCACATCCTGCAAACAAGCAAGTTACCCTGTAAACAAGCAAGTTTCCCTGCAAACAAGCAGGTTTAGATTAGGAAGACATCCTGTTCTGCTCTTAGAGTTACCTTTGATCTTTTTCTTGCCTCTGAAGAGACTTATGAGGGTTTATATATATATATATATATATATCAGCAGTAGAAGATGGAGCTGAGCAAACAGGCATATGACCATCTGTTCCTTTAATGCCCCACTTACAGAGATCCTGCACCACTAGCCTCATCAGGGTCCAGAGGAGTTCACATTTATAATCCCAGGGAAAAGTTATTAGAATTCTAATAAGTGATTCCAGTCTATACTTCCAGTGCAACTCATGGCAAGAGTAAAGAGACAAAACACATCTGTAGCTGTGGGGAGTCAAGGGGGTCCTAGGTCCAGTTGGAATAATGGCTAACCAGAACAAAGACCATGAGCCAGGGCCAAACCCTGGTTTTATTAATTTGTGAAGAGGGAATGGCTCAGGGATAAGTGACTGTGCAAATGGCAGAAAGTACGAAAGTGCTGTGAGCCCGGCTAGGTAGGAGGCACAATAGCACCTCTGCAATATGCAGAGAGATATGCGTAGAAGAGTAGCATTCTGGTAGCAGGCAGTCTCTAACTTCGGAGGAATCTGCCTAATATAGATTGAGAAAGTACCTTGTGTTTTGGTGTCAGTGCTTCAGCTTTGATGCCTTGTCTTCATTCCCTGAAACATCAGGAGTTCTTTCTGGAATCTTAGTTTTAGGCAGCAACTTAACATACTCTTGTTACTTGGCCAGCTCAGGCATACTAGTTGAGAACTACAGGCAGGGCATCACTGACCTCTCTCATTGGTTCAAAGACTACACATCAGCACCTTGACTAGCTATTTGCTTTGCTGAAAGCCAACTGAGGGGGTAAAGTATTATTCTGCCCAGCTCTGTGCATATCAATATATGGAATTAGCACCAGGATTAGCCAAAATGGAGAAAAATGGTCTTTCAGGAGAGCTATCCAGGTGGTCCTCTACATATCTGGCTACAGTTAATTTTTATTCATTCTAGAATATTCATGGTATTCGCTGGGAAATTCTTTTATATTTTTCATCTAGAAAATGCCCCTTTCTTTGAGACCAGTTGAGGTGCTTTCTTCTTTGTGAAATCAGCACAGGTACCTAAAACAGTGTTAGCAATCCCTCATGCAGGCCCCAATGTCCTTTGTCTGTGTTTCTCTTGGTCACATGTGTTTGCATGTGTGGCCTTTTCTGCCCTTGGTGGGCTTCAAGGACAATACCAATGTTACCTGCCTCAACATTACAGCACTGGGTGCCAGAGGAAGTTCACACTGTCACCAAGGGATGCGTGGACTGGTGAACAGAGAGGCTGCCTTGTCCCAGGCTTTGTGGCTATGACTGACAGAGCACAGATGGAGCCCAGGTTATGTATCCAGTGCCTGGTGGTGACCAATAACTTTCCAAGAGTGAGATCTGGAAAGATAGTTTCTGGGCTTAGATCTTAGGAACTATAACAAAATGTGTTAAAATAGCCCCAGATTTCCCAGACCTTCCTGAATCCCAGTAGGGTGTCTGGGGTTCTGGAGGTAGTGTGGACAAAGACCTGCTTTTGTTTGTTAAGCTTGAGTGTAAACTAATGTGAGCATCCTTTTTGTTGTTTGTTTGTTTGTTGTAGCCAAAGGCTAAATGCATGCTGCTGCAGAAAGCAAGACTTTTGTGTGTTCCCCAGAAATGAATCAAAAGAAATTATGAGTAAATAATTTAAATTGTGACAATCACAGCTATCTTTTGGAATTTTTAACCCCCCCCCAAAAAGGTACATCCATTTATTAAGTGAAAAAATGATATTTAAAAGAAACTCAGTAAGAATTCTTGGGGAGGGGATGGATGAGATAGATTTTCTTTGGTCTTTCTTGGCTTGAGCTAATTCTACCTCAGCAGGAAGGTGACACCACACATTTCATCACAGGCAGGAATAAAACACTGCTGATTATACAAAGACAGCATGTATGCTGTACTATTAGTGGTTTTGAATTTTTTTTTTCTTTTTTGCTGTTCTGTTACATAAGCCTTTGTGCACCAAGGGGAAGGCTGTAATAAGTGGAGTGTCCACCCATGCTCATGGAATGGCCCCCTGGGAATGACAGAAGACATCCAGTTAACTGGAGAGCTATGTTTGAGAAGCAGAGACAGCAACTTTTGTGGTTGTGTGGTTGTACTGTCCTTCTGATTAGAGTGGGCAGAGACTTGAGGAAGCTTCAGAACAAGACTCTGCTCTGAGACACCAAGCTCCCTACACGTATAACAATATCTAAGGTTCCCATTTTATAGCTGAACATAGTGTGATTTTTAAAAATGTATAATGAGGTAACAAAAATGAATTTCAAAAGCAAATTCCAAACAACACTACAGATTAGGAAATGAATAAGGGAAGTGCTAATTTAGGCAAGTTGAATAGGTCCCGGAAACATGCACATAAGTAGATAAGGAAGACCAGGTTCAGACCTGGTCTTTGCTAGCTGTTCAGCAGGAAACAGGAGAGGATGAGAGTCACAGGCTGGACCCGCCACTGTGGAGATGGTGAGACATGGGCTTGCACAGCAGCCTTTGGGAGCAGTGGTTCCCTAGTATGCTTCAGGGGCTGGTGAATGCCAGAGCAGCTTCACTACGAAAACATTCATAGGTTGTTACTCTGAGAACCAATTATAGGTCTCTCCTCCCAGGTGGAGTACATTGACCTCTGGAAACCAACCATGCTGAAAATGTTTAATCATAGAAGACAGCAGATATAGACTGGATCTTTTCTCCCAGGAGAACAGCTTGGTAAACATTTATTACTACTCATCTGTCTAAGGCTGCCAGACACCCTTTCAGAGGAAACGCATGGTCAGATCAATTCTCAGAACACTACTAAGACAATTGTTTGCCTCTTTGCTCTTCTTCCCAGAATGCACAAAGGCATTTGCTAGAAACTGGTGATTTATGGTGCTGTAGCAGACCGAACACAGGAGCAGGAGCGTTCGGCTCTTCATTAAGGTGGACATTAAAAAGATATGCACGCAAATATGGGAAGCAGTACCACTCTGCTTACTGATTGGTTTCTCATTTGAGGAACATTTTTTTCATAAAAGTATTTATTGTAACATGGGCTTACTATTATGTTGAAGTTAATATTTTCATATTTAATCTCAAATATGGCAAATGTCATAGAATTTAACTCACATAAAAAGTATTAGGAGTCCTCATTTTTTTTTAGGAAAAAAATGTTTTAGAGTGAAGTTTGGTTTCCAGCAAACTGAGTGGAAGTCTAGCTTATCAATTCTTTGTCACAGGTCATTCATTTGGTGTTGTTTTCAAAGTCATTGTGAAACTCAAGATCCCCTAGATTTTTCTCGTACACCGTCTTCTAGAAGTTTCATAGTTTTTGCACTGTACATGTATGCTAACTGACTCACTTTGAGTCTGTTTTTGTAAAGGTTGAAAGTTCTATGTCTAGGCCTTTTTCTGGTAGATGTCCAGTTCTAGTGACATTTGTTGGAAACACTGTCTTTGCATCCTTGGGTAGTGTTCCTTTTGTTGCTTTGTCGAGAGTCATTTAATGGTGTTTATGTGGGATATAGGTACAGTGTTTTCCTGAAAATAAGACTGAGTCTTACATTAATTTTTGCTTCAAAAGACACAGTAGGGCTTATTTTTGGGAAATATTTTTTCATGTACAAAAATCTGGATTTATTTATGTACAATAGTCTACACTTATTTATTCATGTAAAGAAATCTACATTTATTCAGGTATGGTCACATCATTTTCTCTGGAACATCTTCATAACTCTTGAATCCAAAGCCTGGCCTGAATTTTTTGTGACTTCATTTCCTATAGAACCATTGACCCTAATCTCTTATGGCCAGCGACAGAGCTGGCCTTAAATGGGCACTTGTCCACGTGTCTGCTTGTAGTGTGTCGTTATGACACATGCCATATTGAATGATGAAGATTTATATTAAACAGCCTACCTGTCCATTATCAAGTGCACATATAATTCATGTATTGTGTCTGTACTGTGACTCATCATTGGCAGTAAGTCTTGAGGTCATCTGTTTATATAGATGTTTACCTCTTCTCCAAAGGTACCTGCTCAGGTATTTACAAATACTTAATTACAACTTATATTATAATTTAAGTATTAATGTCAATAATACTTATGTTTTGTCATATTAATATTATTATTTGGTAATTTAATTTATCTGTCATATGTTGCAAGGGACCTACTAACTGTTCATCTGGCTGATAATCTTAATGGAGATTTATTTGAGGGGTTGAGTTTATGTTATGAACATCCTGAAAATCATGCTAGGGGTTATTTTCTGGTTAGATCTTATTTTTGGAGAAATATAATATTTCTGGGATCTTTTTTCTGTTGCAGGGATCTGTTTATCTATTCTTCCCCCTACATGACACCATGTTGATTATTGTAGCTTTGTAATAAGTTTTGAAATCAAATAGCATTATTCTTTGTTCTTCTTCGGTATTGTGTGATTAGCATATTTTTTTCTGGTAGTACTAGGAAGTGAACCTAGGATCTTTACATTGAGCTACATCTCCAAACCTTTTCAAAATTTTTTATTTTGAGACAAGATCTCACTAAGTTGTTAAATTTCTCAGGCTGAGTTTAAATTTGTTATTCTCCCCCTTAGCCTCCTACAATGCTTGGATTACACGCATATGTCTCTAAACCTGGCTCAATTTTTAAGAATATTGTCTTAGTTCATATTGTTATAAAAAATTTTATTTCTCACAGTTTCGAAGTCTGGGAGGGCTAAGGACACAGTGCCAGCAAGTTCTGTGTCTGGTACAGGTTCTTGCTGTTCAAAAGAAGGAAGGCAGATGGGGAAACCATCCTTCACCTGCCCTTTGCTAGGGCTATTTAGTGGTTTCATGCAGCTCTTCCCTAATGACCTAATCACCTTATAAAGCCCCTACTGGTAATCCTGTCACCTCAGCTCTTAGGTTCCAACATGGGAATTTAGGGGGACACATTCAAACTGAGACCCAAAAGTTTGAGAGCTGCAGTTATAAAGAAAGATGGACAAACCCAGAGGATTCTCACATGGGGGAGGAGAACAGATGTAATGGAAAGTGTGAGCTACATTTTGTTCTCATCCCTATTGCAGCTCTGAAAGTCTGCGTGTAGCTGCTGTGTGACACAGACACGACGAGCCTGGTCACAGGAGGAGATCCCAGAGGTGTGCAGAACATGACACAGGGATCTTAGGGTGCAGCCCAGCAATCTTCCTTGGGACCAGGGGCTGTCAGGTGGCTTGGGCAGCCTAAGATTGGTTATTCCCATCTTCTGAGACAAAAGTGGCCCTGGTTATGAGGTCTGTGCATGAAGACCATGTACCATGCCTCTTCTTCAGAATGAAAGCTTCAGTTAGATCCCAAGAACAAACCATGCTGAAAGGGAAACAGTCACACTTGCACTGCTCACCTGTCTGCCACCCTTGACATTTTATAGGAAACATACAGTTTGCAAGAGAGGAAACTTACTTGCCCAAAGAAGCCAGTTGCTTACCCTGCTCCTTTCCCTGTGGCCACACCATAGACACCGAACATATGAGCAAGGTGAGAAGCCAGTAAGGACACATAGAAAAGCAAGTCCAGTAGACAATCCGGGAGGCAAATGGGCCGCGCATCTGTCAGCAGCTTGTCAGACCACACAGCTGACTTCCTCAGCTGCAGGAGAGGTGCCAGGGTCTCCAGAGGACCCATCCCAACCTTGCAAATCTGTGGGCCCAGCCTTCCTGAGTCTAGCCCATGGAAGGACTCCCCCCATACCTCCTATCTTTTAAGCATTTGCCTAAATGCTCTCCAGGCTGGGAACCGAGGCAGTCCCTAATCTGGAACCAGCAGTGTGTTCACGTGATCCAGAAATGTCCACAAATCATGTGTATCCTTTTTTTTTGTGGGGAGAAGGTCTAGACTTTTCATTATATTTTTAAAGGTGTGGGAAGTCTTAACCATTTTTTAAAAAGACGGAAAGTCTGTGTGGTAGAGGTCAACACTAGCACAGCTGTACTATTGAGAGTTCATGCAGAAACATTAATATAACCAGGAATTAACTTGTTCTCCAGGCTAGGTGCAGGACCAAGGCGGGAAAAGCAATGGTGAGTAAGGGTTGATGCACACTGTGCCTGTGCCATTGAGGAGCACAGATAGAAGCCAGAGCATTACACAGATGCTCCACCCTCACGACCTCATCTCCTACAAAGACCCTGCCTCCTGTCACCATCACCTTATGGCCTACAATGTCAACATACAGATTTTGAGGGCACAGTTTCTCTGTTGTATCAGTGGAGAGAGAGAGAGGAAGGAAAGATGAAAATTGATGGCAAGAAATATGTGTGCAAGATGCTTGCTTCCAAAAAATATTACTAAAACTTTTGTTTTACTCCCTGCAATCTTGGAAGAAAAATTGATAAAGGTTTGTTTATAATGTAGCTGATACCTGACAACATTATGTCCAAGCCTGTGGCCATAGTGACAGGATATTTAGTATCCTGTGAAAGGCTGATGGACAAAGAACTCTTGTCTTGAAGATTCTTGCTAGAACCTGTATTTGCCTTAAGCCCTGGCACCTCGAAGTTGCCTCACATTTGCAGGAGCCCCCCATGGCAGGAAATTATTATTATTGGTACAAAAATCATTATAGAATGACCATGTGGTTGATGTTCACTGATTATGAAACCGGTCAAAAAATACCTGCCCTCTGTAGTTGGGTGTTTTTGTATTATTCAGTTTTCCATCTCTTCCCCACTCCCCAGAATGGCTTATTCAGAGGAACAAGGAGGGGTCCCCTGTGGTTTCATCCGCCAGAACTCCAGCAACTCCATTTCCTTGGACTTTGAGCCCCACACAGAGTACTGGTTTGTGGAGCAGTTGGAAGAGCGCTACAAATGTGCCTTCTGCCACTCTGTGCTTCACAACCCCCACCAGACAGGCTGTGGGCACCGCTTCTGCCAGCACTGCATCCTGTCCCTGAGGTGAGCAACAGGGCACCAGAGCTGGGTGGCCAGTGGTGGGGCCAGTATCTAGGGGCCAGCTGTGGCTATGGCCTTTGTAAGTGTATGGTTGCCTATGGAGCCACAGCAGGAGGAGCTCTCCCCAGGCCCCTGTTAGGACCTGAAGAGCAGTCCCCATGTTTCACCCTCAGATATGTATATTCACCATTTCTTAAAACTCAGACCCCCACCTGCCCTGCACGGGGCAGCAGCAGGCTTCAGGTCCAGTCTTTGTCAGGAGGTAGGATGGTGGCTAGTGTCCGCCTTGCCTGGAGTGCTCCTTGATTCTGTCATGGACCTTGCTGTGTGGCTGCTGGGCTGCTGGAAGCTGTGAGGCCTGTGTTGGTCAACTTTCCATCACTGTACCAGGACATGAACTTACAAAAATATGATGATTATTTTAGCTCAGTTTTTGGGTTTCCAAGTCATGATGCAGTGGTCTCAGTATTTTGGGCCCACATTGAGGCAGCATATCATGTCCTGGTGTATAAGAAACCATTCACGTCCTCAACTAGGAAAACAGATGTTTTCCACTGGTGTTCCACTGCCCCCTTTAAAGCTAGAGTCTTATGTCTTAAAGAACCTGGCGTTGCCTTCCTATAGCAGCACCCTGGGGACAGACATTTAACATGGGCCTTTGAAAGACATCCAACATCCAAACTGTAGCAGCCTGGGTCATGGCATGTTAAGCTGGGAGACTAGGAAAGACATACAGATGCTTGGGGGCTTCTACAGGACCAAAAGGCAGATGACCCTGCTGGCTTTGAAGGTAGTCAGCACATTCTCATTCCTTCAGCACTTGTGTCTTCCAGACACTTTGTTCAACTAAGCTCCAGTGTCTGGAGCTGGAGAGTGTGGGACCAGGACCCAGTGTCAGCCTCCTAGAATGTCCCAGTTTAGTAAGAGGGCAGATGCCTGCTCGGTAGGGTACATAGAGGTCTGGGGCATTCAGCACTGACTGAGGGACTCTCTCCCGCTGTGTCCTGGAGGAGGAGTGGGAGTTTCTCAGCAGACTGAAAGATTGGGAGGTGTGGCACGAGGGAGTCTGGGCACCTTTGGGGAAAGGGGCCCACATGTGCAAAGACAGGGCTACAGCCTGCTCAAGGACAGCACATGACTGGAGCACGGGGCTGCTCTTGGGAGAGCTGTTGAAGTTGAACATCTAACCATGGCTCTATTTCTGTTTTTCTCCTCAGAGAATTAAATGCAATGCCAATCTGTCCAGTAGATAAAGAGGTTATCAAATCTCAGGAGGTAAGAAAATCACCACTTCAATCTAGTGATGGAGGAGAGACCAGTGTGTTGGGTTGAGCTGGTCCTTAAGTTTGGTGCCAGAAGGGTAGTCGAGGGTCCTTTCTGGAAGTCTGGGCTCAGGGAAGTCCCTCCCCCAGCCCTGTTAGAGAGATCCTGCAGTCTTCACTGACTGCAGCCTTGCTGCCTGCTCCTTGCCCCTGTTCACACTGGCTCCCCCTACAGTGGGAGAAATAGAGCACTGTTTCCTTGAATGCACTTTCTTGTTTGGTTAGTCCTAAAACTTTCTTTTTGTTTACTAACAGCTTATTTGAGACAAAATTCACATTCTGTAAAATTTACGTTTGAAAGTGAAATGTTCAGAGGGTCTCAGGGCATTCACAAGGTCGTGCAGCTGTCATGCTGTCTGAGTGTTAGAATATTGCCATTCCCTTGGGGAGAGGCAATGCGCCTATGGAGCTCACTCCCTTCTCCCCTTCTCCAGCCCTTGGAATCTACTACTAAGGTTCTGCTTCTGTGAATTTGCCCATTCTGACATTTCATATGAATGGACTTGTGCAGTGTGTGTTCTTTTGTGTCTGAGCTCTTTCACTTAGCATGCTGTCTTCAAGATTCATTTGTGTTGTAGAACACTTCATTGTTTTTTATTGCTATGTACTGTTCCATTTTATGAATATATAATATATTTAAAAATCTATTCATCAGTTGAGTTGTTTCCACTTTGAATGATGATGAATAATGCTGCTATGAGTATTTGTGTACAAGATTTTATGTGGCCCTATATTCATTTTTGTCTTTTCTCATTGCTTAAGACAAAATACTTCAGTGCCCAAAGTTAAGGAAGGAAAGATCTATTTAGCTCGCAATTTATAGAGGTTTCAGTTCATAGTCGCCTGACTGCAGGACAGGGTGGCATGGCAGAGGGGTGTAGCAGAGGAGAAACAGTTCATGGCTGGCAGAAGAACAAAAGCGAGCAAGCAATAAGCAAGGAGAAGCCACAAGAAACAATAGCAGCTTCTGCCCCATTTATAATCTGTCCAAGGTTACCAGGATTACGGTGGCTGCCAAACCAATCAGAAATAATTTAGTAATTACACACCTGTAATCTCAGAATCACACATTATAGAACAGCTACCCCTGAAGAAGCCCCACCTATGACTGCAGGGAGCTTTCAAGGGACATCTAGACACAAGCCATAGCAATTTCTTTGGGATGTATAGCTCAGTGAAATGATGGGTAATATGGCAATTCAGTGTTTAACACTCTGAGAACTGCCAGGCAATTTTCAAAGCAACTCTACAATTCCACTGATTCCTACTAGTGATGTGTGGGTTCCAGTTTCTCCAAACCTTCATCAAAAATTGCCATTCCAAGTCTTTTCACTTACAGTCTTCCTAGTTTGTGTAAAGTGTTATGTATTTGTGATTTTGCTTTGCTTTTCCCTGGGAACTAAAGATGTTGAGTATGTTTTCACATTCTGATTGGCTATTTGGATATCTTTTGTGTAGAAATGCTTATTGAATTCCTCTGCCCATCTTTAAATTGGGTTGTCTCTTAATGGTTGAGTTGTAAGAATTCTTCATACAGTATCTTCTGGATACAAGTTTCTTAGAAATATACAATTTGCAAATATTTGTCTCCTATTCTATTGGCTGTCTTCAGTTTCTTAATGGCATCCTTTGAAGCAGAAAATTTTTGATTTTATGAAGTCTAATTTATCTAATTTTGTTTTTTGATTCCTTGTTATTTTTGTTATATCTAATAAACTGTCTTGGTTACTTTTCTCATTGCTGAGGCAAAATGCCCAACGTCTAAAGTTAAAAGAGGAAAAGTTTATTTGGCTCACAGTTTATAGAGGTTTTAGTCCATAGTCGACTGGCTCCAAGGCAGGGTGGTATGACTGAGGGGCTTCGCAGCAAGCAGGCAGGCAAGAGCACATTTGCCCTCTTCTGTCCCTTATATTTTATGCATCCTACCTGCCCTAGGGCAGGGGTAGCACTCATACCCAGAGCATTGCCAAACCAGTGGTTTCATTTAGTAATCACACACCCTTGATTCCAGCACCACACACCTTAGACCCAGCTACTTCTGAAAAGCCCCACCTATGGCTGTATGAAACTTTGGGGAGATGTCAAGACACAAACCATAATAGAAATTGTTGTTTCAAAATGAAAGTTGTTTCCTTAAAGCCTCTCTTAATTACATGCAGTTTTCTTCACCTAACATTTTGTTGCCCAGAATTCAGGCATCGCCTCCTTCAGGAAGCATTTCCTGGTCTGATCAGTGTGTTCTTTGTCTACACTCCTTATGATGTGTTTTATAAATACCTCCCAGAAGGCTGTGTTCTGCTTAGTGTCTGTCTGATCCGTTAAGTCAGGGATCAATGTATTCCAGTTTTGGAGCAAATCTAGCTGCCACATGTTTTATCCTAGCTTGTGAGGTAAACAACAGCTTTTACATTTTTAAATGGTTGAAAAAATATCAAGAGAAGGAGGCATAGAAACCCTTCTATTTTTTCTTCTTGTATTAAATAAACTATTTCAAAACAAAAAAGTCTATTTTAAAAATCAGTGTTTTGTGATGCATGAAACTTATGCATAGAGCTTTTTTGGACCATTTGCTTCAGTGTTGTGTACAGCAGAACTAAAATTCAGCAACAGAGGTAGTCATGATAAAGCTTGCAAAGCTGAAGATATTTACTGCATGGCCCTTTAACAGAAAAGTTTGCTAACCCCTGGCTTGTGCTGAAATAACAAATCAGTGCATTCTTCAGAGACATCCTGGTGATTGCCCTGAGAGAGGAAATGTCTTTGTCACTTTTCTCATTGCTAGACAAAATACCTGGCACCCAAAATTAAAGGAGGAAAAGTTTATTTGGTTCCCAGTGTAGAGGTTTCAGTCCATAGTCAGCTGGCTGCAAGACAAGGTGGCTTGGCAGAGGGTCATGGCAGTAGACAAATAGTCCATGGCAGAGCAGGCAGGAAGCAGCATCTTTCCTTTATATTCCACCCAGACTACAAGCCCGTTTGGTTGGTGCCACTCAAATTTAGGGTGAGGCTTCCAATTACTCACACTCAGAACAACACTAAACCAATCAGTGGATTAATGCAGTCATCACACACCTCTAATCTATCTTCACACCCTAGATCCAACTACCTCGGTAAAGCCACATCAATGAATGAGCACATGAGGCATTGGGTGATGTCTAAATACAAGCCATGACATTCTACTACTAACCCTCAAAAGATTTCCTGTGCATCCCTTTATACAAAAGGAATTTAGTACTTGTCTAAGAGTTGCTAAAGTCCTAATAGTTTCAGAATTGCTGAGAAGTTCAAGTCCAGAGTTTCCTCTGAGATTTAAGGCAAACTCTTAGCTGCAAGTCCCTGTAAAGATGAAAAAAAAAGTCAAACACTTCCAACTTGCAATGGTACAAAATAAATATTTCCATTCTGAAAGGTAGAAATAGGAAGATAGACAAGAATGGGTTCAAAGCAAGACCAAAATCTAGCAGGGCAAATATTAAGTCCTGTAGTTCCATGCCCAGCACTTGGACTGTGTGAAGTCATCTACATGAGATTCTCTTAGCACTGAGTGCTGAGTTACCTAACTTGTCAGCAGTATGTATGTGAGGCAGCCTTTCCTTTTAGGGTAATTGTGAGGATAATATTTCCATAAACTGGAAATTTCCATCTGACTTTTGGGATATGCTGGAAGATCAAATTAATAATAGCTTCAGTTGCATTAATATAAAATGTTGGAGTATATGAGACCTAACATGTTTATCTTTTAGATATTTAAAGACAATTGCTGCAAAAGAGAAGTTCTCAATTTATATGTATATTGCAAAAATGCCCCTGGATGTAATGCCAAAATGATTCTGGGACGATATCAGGTTGGTATGACCAGTATTTGCCTTTTTCACCTCTCTTGTGTCATACATCAAGCCCTTTATGTGACAGTTCCTGGGTACTGGGTACTGGTGGAGGGAGCCCTGGGTTGCCCACTGAAGACTGCACAGTTGTGGAGCACACCACAACTACCACAGGTGCAGGAGTCACTGCAGAGGTACTCTATGTATAGGAGGGCATGCTGTGTGTTAGGAATCGTTAAACCAAAAAAGGTGTGGAGTATGCCAAGTAACAGAAACTCTCAAACTAGGATTGCTGTTTGTCTGGAATTGTGAAGGATGGGGACCAGGCATGACTGCAGAGAGTCTGTGTCCCAAATTGTTTGTGCTCTCATCGGGAGCCCTGGCATGTGAGCCTGGCCTACAAGGTGGTGTGACCTAAGCAGATCACACAGACCTGAGAGAGATGTGGTTTCAAGATGAAGCTTTGGTGTGAGACACAAACAAGTGTAGGGGAAGTTTAACTGAGGGGGAGTTGAGTTCCTGGTAAATGAAACCACTGAGCTGCGCCTTCATCCAACCAAGAGGGCTGTTAAAGGGAAGCTGGAAATACAGCGTGTGTCAGACTTGATCATGCTGCACATTACTAAGGCTCAGGCATCTCTGGCTTCCAGGGAACTGCTTGGAAGCTGCTGACATTTTCCCCTCACACCCACATAGTCTGGACCATGTATTTCAGTAACTCAGCCTTTTCTTTTATCAAGCCTCCAAAACTCCCTAGGCACCTAGGTGATAAATAACACATGATTTCCTTGTGAACCCAAGCATTGCGTTGGAGGTTTACAGAACTTTTTTGTCCTACAACAGTCATTTATGGCAGGTCGTAGAGCTAGGCCTTTTCCAACATTGCTATCACTAAGCCTGAAAAAGAAATGGGGCTCAGATGGACCACAGCTGTTTGGACCATACCAGAGCCTTCAGGAAACAGGGGCTGGCTTCTTTCACCCATTTCCCCTGAGTTTTCTCACTCCTCATCGCGTTCCCCACTGTGTGGCAAGGCATAGGTTCTGCAGTGTGGCAGAGTTCCTTGAATGTTGACTGGTAAAAGTGGATGGCTGCAATCAGTGAGTTTTGGGGAAAATACAGATTTTGACTGTCATCATCATCATTTGTTTCTTGCTACCAGCAATAAAGGAAAAGAGCTGTCATGTTTATCCTGCTGAAAGGCTTTTCCCTCTGTTTTCCTTCAGAGAGGAGGCTGAAAACTTTCTATTAGCATCCAGATGGTAGATTTTTTAGGTTCTGCAAGCTGTTTGGTGTCTATTGCAATCACATGGCCCTCCAACTCCAGAGGGAAGGGATCGTAGACAGCATGCAAGTGAATCTTCACTCATTAACTCTATTTTAAAGGAAAGCATGTCCACTAGGGTTAGGGAGGCTTGTTGCATCACAGTCACTCACAGTGATCCAATAGTTCTTATTGAGACCTGGCTGCTTTTAAAAATCTAAAATACAGCCAGGGATTTAGCTCAATGACTTAAGTGTCTGCCTGGAAGTGCAAGGTCATGAGTTTAATTCTCCAGTACCAAAAAAAAAGGCGGGGGGTGTGGGCTGGGGATTTAGCTCAGTGGCATAAGCAACTGCCTGGCAAGCACAAGGTCATGAGTTCAATCTCCAGCACCACAAAACAAAACAAAACAACAACAAAAAAACAAAACAGCGAAAACAAACAACCCCCCCAAAGCCAAATCTAAAATGTGAATAATCCTGTATTCTAGATCTCTAATACTCTGATTAAGAGTATATTCTAATTTTATAAAGCAGAGAATTCCTGCAACAACTAGACTCTTGAGCCTATATTTCCTCTGTCTCTTTTTCCCTGCTTCTGAGAAAGCTGTTCTCCCTTCCTTTTCTACCTCTTAGTCCTCCCTTTTCCTTCATTGGGTGAGGATATGCCCTTTTCTTCTTCTCTTTTCCTTCTGACCCATCTTCCACTGCTTGTGGTGCAGAGGCAAGTACGAAGGGTTGCAGGTAGGGATGGAGAATGCACAGAAGATGTAGAACTATGCTCCAAGAACTGACACCCTAACTGAAAAGCCTCAGGAAAATGTGCAGGGACTGACCTAATGATATGATATAAAATACACCTGGCCTACTTCCCCTGCCCCATTGGCCTCTCTTCTACCAAACAAGGTGATTTTTGCAGCCTCCTTTTCAGGTAGCCCTTTGCAGTCTCCTCAGCAGAGATCTGGGTGACCTTTGTAACAGCCCTGGAACCTCCCCATCTTGCGCTCTGTGCCAGCCCTTCTGTCCAGCTGGCCCTGCCTTCACCCTCCTAGGCCTCCCAGCTGGCCCTACCAGTCTCTTGCTGTTTGTTTCAGGATCACCTGCAGCAGTGCCTGTTCCAGGCCATTCCATGTTCCAATGAGAACTGCCAGGAAGCAGTGCTCCGGAGAGACCTGCAGGAGCACCTGAGTGCATATTGCCAGTTCCGGGAGGAGAAATGCCTTTATTGCAAAAAGGATGTGGTGGTAATCAATCTACAGGTAAAAGAGCAGCCTCCCTCCTGGGGCCACATTCTGCTGAGTGATGACAGTGGAGTAGGCAGGAGGGATACCAGAAGTTCTTGGCTGTAGCTCAAAGCCTTGCATGATGCTGTTCATTTCTCGTGGGTGAAACTAGCACTTCAACACCTGCTGCACATGGAAGGAGTGGGCTGAGCCTTGGATGACCGACAGGTGACAATGATACTGCCCTGCACACTCTGACTGAATTGAATAGGCAGAGTGTACACATGAAATGAGACTGTGGGTACCTTTTCTAGGTTCCAAAAGAGCCACCCTGGTAATTACCCAGGCTTCTGTCTTAGAGTCCTGTGCTCTCTGACATTCTGTTTGAATATTTGTATCATTTAATCTTTTAATTGCATTTATTTAATCCATTTTGGGATTATCTTATAAATCCCTATGGGGAAGGCAAACCACAGATGTATATGTGCAAAGAGACTTGTCTGCATTCTCAGTGAGGCCATGAAGGAAAAGCCTTGATTCTGTTTCATCACACCTTCTTTTTCAGAATCATGAAGAGAATTTGTGTCCTGAGTACCCACTGTCTTGTCCCAACAAGTGCTCACAGGTTATTCCGAGAACCAAGGTAACTGTAAATAGTCCTTTCTGTACATTCTATGTAAGGGAAAGAATAAGCCGTCTTTGTGATGTGTGTTTGACAGAAACCCAATGCAAAAGCCTGAGCTTTGAGTCAACCCCACTGGACCCTATCTCTGTGCTCTCTTCTCTTCTCCTTGCAGCCACTTCTCAGTACCCATCCAAGCTCTTCTCCCCAAGTTCTTGCCTTCTACTGTCTCGCCATCCATCTTCACTATACTGGGCCCCCTGCTAGCTGCAACCACTCCAGCATGGGGAGTTGATGGGGGGTTTCCATAACTTGAGGCTGCCTGTCTTATAGGTAGATGAACATCTGGCTGTGTGTCCAGAGGCTGAGCAACACTGCCCTTTTAAGCGCTACGGCTGTGCTGTAAAGGTAAGAGATGTCCGTTTGTTTCTGCCTTTATATTCTACTGTATAAGTCACTGGGCAAGTCCAAGTTACTCTTTGATTCCATGCTTGATACATGGTTGCAATCTAGAGGATTTTAATACTGTAAATATATTAGGATGCTACAGGGAAACACACTTGTATATGAATAATTGACTCATGCAGTTGTGGAAGTTAACTCCCAAATCTTTTCCTTCTGCCCCATCTTCCACTGCTTGTGGTGCAGAGGCAAGTATGAACGGGCAGAGCAGCCCAGCAGTCTGCAGACTCAGGCTGGAGTTTCTATGCTGCAGTCCTGTGAAGTGCTTCTTCTTTACTCTCTTGGTTACTTTTCTGTCATTGCTGATAAAAAATTCCTGATGCCTAACATTAAGGAAAGAAAGGTTTATTTGTCGAGGTTTCAGTCCATACTCAGTTGGCTCCAAGGAAGAATGGTGTGGCTGAATAGCAGCCATTGGTGGCAGCTGTGGCAGATACCAAAAAGGACAAGGGTAAAAGGGCTGAAAGTAGGAAGCAAGCCCCTTTCCCTCCCCTATATCATAAGTAGGCTATGCCTCTCAGGTGGGTGTAGCACTCACACAGTTTCTGTGCCCTCCTTTTTCACAGACTGAGGATGTTACAAAGTAAGGACCCTGGTCCCCTCTGAATCATTTAAGCTAAACATCTCACTTTCTCAAATTGACACAGTGTATCAACCATAACATTCAGGAAACCTTCAGCTGATTAGGTGAGGTCCACCTGTATGGATGGATAATCTTGTTCATTTAAGATTAGCTAATTATATTCATCATGTCTATAAAGAACCTTCTTAGCAGCACTTAGACTCATGCTGGTGAAAAAACTAGAAGCCACAGGCTATTTTATACTTACAGTAAGTCCCCAACTTAGGAACATTGAATTGTGGGTTTTCACGGGTATACTGTTGGCTTACAAACAGATCTTAGGAGCTATTCTCCCAGAACAGAACTCATTCATAAGTTGGGGACTTACTGCATCCTTAAAATAATTATTCAATAAATTTATACAATAAATTCTTAAGAAAATAAAGTTTGATCTCTACTTCTGCAACAGCAAAGAGAAGACTCGAAATGACACCCAGAATTAGGAGGTAGATCTTGATCAATGTCAACAGGCACTGATCAGGATCATTTCCAAAATATTAGGCCCTGATCTCTGGTGGTCAGGGTTTATATGGAATAAGCAAACAGAAGGTACAGAGGCAGAATAGCTTTTCAGTTGGGATTGGTTCTTCTGATATGTATGAAAATGACCAGCCATTTCTAGGACATAGAGGCAACTGGATCTGCAACAGGAACTATTACCTGTTGTAAGTAGGAAACTTAAGTATACTGGCCAGCCCTAAACTAAAGCGAAATTGGTGATGAACATTTGCTTATACTATGTGGACCACCTGAAACAGTAACCTTCATTTAGACTAGTAATAGAGGCAGTTTGCAAATCAGTATTGTAATCATCAAGGGGGAAGTAACTATTTCTTTTCACAAGCTTATAACACTTTTATGGGTGTTAATTTGCATAGGCTGAAATTAGGTTGAAAACTTCTGGCCCTAACAATAGGACAATGATGGGAGGGAGAACCATCCTAGGTTAAAAATTACACTAGAGAGAACCCAGCAAGGATATAAGGAATAGTGAGGATAGTGATTATTCCTAGCTCACAGGAAGGGCTAGGAAGAAAATCAGTGCTGAGGGTTTTGATAGTGGCTTAGGTCTTTGTTAAGTTTAAGATTGCCTCATGAACACTGTAGAATCCCAGAGCTGGAAAAGTACTTGTAGAACCATTTTTCCTAAACCCACCCAGAGATGAGGGGGATCTGTACAATTAAAACAGCAAAGCTGCCGAGGTTCTGCATTAGCAGAATATCCCACTGCTTCCTTCCTTCTCTGCACCTCTTGGTAACTGGGCTTCTTTCTGTCTTTATACTCAAGGACAAGCGAGGGAACCTGCAGGAGCATGAACAGTCAGCCTTGCGAGAACACATGCTTCTGGTTCTGGAGAAGAACTTCCAGTTAGAGGAACAGGTGAGCCTTTGTTTGAGGGTCTGCATCTACAGGGAGGCAGTAGAAATGTCAGGACTTGGTGGTTTCGTGGGCCTGCTGGTGAATCCCTTTCTGTGTCAGCACAGGTTATTGTTTCCCTCCTGAGGGGCCAGGCAGTCTGGCAGAATCATGAAACGCTGGGACCAGTGGTGACTTGGGGACCTTTGGTTCCAACTCCTCATTCAGCAGGTGTAGCAACTAAGCTCGAAGAAGTGCTAATGTGTTTGTGACTTGTAGGTGGAAGGATTCATTGTCAAGGCATGTCCTCCAAGTCTAGGCTCAGGGTTCCTCATGGTATCTCTTACTGCCTCTCCATGCACCTTCTGGTTACCACCTGGAACTTAGTAGATGTTCGATGTTTTAACATTATATCAGTATTACCATGAAAGACCAGTTGACTATCCTAAACATTGTGGATTTTGGTGATTTAAAAGTAAGTTTAAACTGCCTTTGAGAAGCTTTACAACACTATACATGTGCATTTATTTCATTTTATGTACTTCACTGAGCTGTGATTATCAGATGAAATTGTGTCATAATGCCTGGAGCATGCAGAAGAGACCTCAAAATTGCTGTTTCTAATGAATGGTGATTATGAAAGTTAATTATTTTGTTAGAACACCTCAGAGGATCAGACTTTTTCCGCCCTTTTTTTCTTTTCAATACTAGGGATTCAACTTAGGAACTTTGCACTTAGTGACATCCCCAGCGTTTTCGAAAATGTTTTATTTTGAGATGGTACCTCACTAAATCTCTAGGTTGCCTACGCATCTGATCCTCTTGCCTCAGCCTTCCAGAGTGCTGGGATTATAGGTGTGGGAAATAATTCCCAGTAAGGTCAGACTTTTCAAACCCACATGGGAAGAAAACTTGTCTTCAGGGAAGGAGCTGAATTTTACTATTGCCAATTATTTTATGATGTCTGATTCTATGCTAAACTGCGCATGTAAGTTCCAGGTCAGATCCTGGAGAAAATTAGAAAGACTGATTAAACAGTAACTTTGGTAGAAGGCATGTTGGCCAGTAACTGTTTGAAAATTCTTTCTGTACACCTGCCACATCTGTCCATCTCTTTGTCCAACTGGCACCTCTCACATGTCAGGTACGATGTTCATTGCTGGAGCTAAGGGACAGTGTAAATGGGTAAGTTGTGATGCCTCATGGGAAACCCCATAACTCTGCCTGAGGTACAAGGCTTCTAGAGAAAACTTGTGGAAGGTTTCAAGGCAGGACATAGAGACTGCATCATGAGAGAAGAGAAGTCTGGTCAGTTACAGTGCTGTGGCAATAGGATTCCAGAAAGGGAGAGCTGGTTCCAAGGCAGAGAGGCACACCAGATGTTACTGGGTTAAGGAAATGAGATTTTCAGATGCTTCCAAGTGTGAGACAGGGAGTGGCTCGAGACCATTGTGTTGGATGAATCCAGATCACAGTTGCCTTCCATGCAAGCCAAGACTTTTCTAACACTGTGTTCAACTGTAGTTTTACTCATGCATTCTGTTTCTTTTTAGAAAGAATTTAAGGACAAAATGTATTATTTAATAATATGGAGCTAGTGGAAGTTTTAAATATGAAAATACTAGGCCAGGTAATTGTTTGGCTTTTTATAGTGAGACAGATGTCAGAGTGAGGGCCGGGAGCTGAAAGACCTGGGCTCATATCCTGACACTATGTGGCATACAGCCTGGCTCCACATGGGCTCTGAGTTTAATTAAGCTGTTTTACCTCTCTCTTCCCCAGGTCCTCATTCATAAGTGGGGTTGTGTGGAGGGGTAAATGAAATAATATTGAAATAATATGGTTTGGCTGTTGGCATAAACATTTTGATATTAAGTGGCAGCAAGATGCTGGAGGTAGTGGTGGCATTTTGAGGGCTTGAATGAGGCCATGTGAGTGGGCTGCAGGGTATCAGGAGACATCCAAGGTTGAAATAGTGCTGTACGCTAGAAGGCAGGGAAAGCAGGAGGTAATTTACTGACATGGCCACCACAGGAGCAGGAGTGGCTGGAGGTAAGGGTGGGAGAGAGTCAAGTGGGTAGGGAGAAGACTGTCCTGGGGTCCACAGAGGGGATTCTGGGCCAGAGATCCATGGAACCACTGTGGCAATCATTTGTGTGCTTGTTCCTCAATCATGTACCCTGTGCCCTGGCCACCAGCAGCTTCTCATTTAGAAATAAATGAGATGTGGCTAAGGCCCAAGAAACAATTTAATGGAGGAACAGAAGCAAAGCAGTTTATACAACAGCAGTAGGGTAGGGGCTGGAGATTTAGCTCAGCGGCATTAGCGCCTGCCTTGCAAGCAGGCAGTGGTGAGTTCGATCCCCAGTACCAATAAAAAGGAAAAAGACCAAAACAAAACAGCGATAGGGTAAGTTGTAGCTAGTGGTGTTAGGTGGGTAATGCTAGTGAGCAGGTATTCCTGAGATGTACCCTTGAGCAGCACCTTAGAAAGCAGTAGTTTCTAGATGAAAAGGGAAGATGTGGACGTCTCCTTCCTGGACAAGGTGTACATGGGTGTGAATAGGCAGGAGGCTGAAAGTGTAGCCAGGGGACAGATGATTAGGGCCCAGGGTAACCTATAAAGGAAAGCCACTGGTCACTTAAGTAGGGGAGGCAAAAGACTAGATTGTCCCTTAACATTATTTTGGTCACAGTTTAAAATATGAATTGGAGAAGAACAAGACTAAACATGAACTAGCTGCAGTAGAGCACGCCTGTAATCCCAGTACACTGGGAGGTTGAGGCAGGAGGATCACAAGCTTGAGTCCAGGCTGAGCAAGTTAACAAGACCCTATCTCAAGAAATGGACAAAGGGCTGGGGATATAGCTCAGTGCAGAGACCCTGAGTTCAATCTTCAGTACAGGAAAATATGTGTTTAGATGAAGAGCACTCAGCCATTCATTCCTTAACGAGTATCATGCTCTTATTCAGTTTCTGGCCTCCCATGGAGAGTGGGATCTCTGCCAGTCCCAGCTCCGTAGAGCTTGTGTTCTGGTGTGTGTCAGGGTAGGTGTTATCTAGGACCAGTAAGGAAGCTGTTTGTCGCAAACCCAGTGAGAAATAATAAAGGTTGAAGTGATACTCAAACAAGGTGAGGTGAGAATGGACATAAGAGTTCTTGCTTTGTATTATGTTAGTAGTTGAAGTGGGCAGGCACTGCATGTAAAGGATACGGGGATCAGCGTTGTGCATAATCACTCTTAGATTTCTGGTTGTTTCCCTCAGATAACAAATAGATTACACTTTCTTCATGTATTTTGCCTCCTACTTGCTAGCCTTTGTCCTTGGTCAGGTTCTACAAACTCTATACCTCTGTTTGCTCATCTGGGAAAATGGGCCCATACCTAATTTGTAAGGGTTCTTTGAGGGTTAAAGAATCCCATGGATATAAGAGTGTTGTCTTAGTGACTTCCCTGCTTGCCCTAATGCAACATCTGACATTGCAAATTAGAGGAAGAGAGGTCTGTTTGGCGCTCAATGTGTCCAGGTTTCAGTCCTCAGTACAGGCAGCATGGCATGGCAAAGGGGGCTGCTCACTACAGGGCAGCAGGAAGCCAACAGTGCAGGCAGGAGCAGTAGAGGGAGAGATGCCCTTCTGGGTTGCTCCCTAGTGACCTATCTCCTCAGACCCACTTCACCTCCCAACATTAGCTGTAAACTCATCAGTGGACTATACTGATGACTGTCACACTTTATGATCCAATCACCTCCCCAGACTCCCACCTAAGAGTACATAAGGCTTTGGGGAGAGATATAGATGTAAATCATAACAAGTACGGTAGAAATTCAGCACACTTCAGTCATTCTTACTATCAGTATTTTGTGTGGATAACATCTAATGGGATATGAGGATCATAATCTGTGGTTATTTTCTAAGTACATAACAAATAGGTGAAATGAACCAGTTCAGTAAGTTCAGCCAAGTGATGTCACTGCTGTTAGAAAAACCATCATTAACAGGCTGATGTGAAATTCTGTGGATATGGGTTTATGAAACTACCTGAAAATATTTTTCTAGAATTTTATAGGAATCTACCTGTGAATATTTTCAGAAATATATATATATATATATATATATATATATATATATTCCTAGAAACGTTTGTACCTGCAAGTACTATTTTAACTTGCATGCATGTATTTCAGTGATCTCATTTTTTCTTATTCACATTTCTGATACTAGATTTCTGACTTATATAAGAGCCTAGAGCAAAAAGAAAGTAAAATCCAGCAGCTAGCAGAAACTGTAAGGAAATTCGAAAAGGAGTTCAAGCAGTTTACGCAGTTGTTTGGCAAAAATGGAAGCTTCCTCTCAAACATACAGGTAAGAAGTGGCCTTTGCACTCAGAGATGAGATCTGGCTTTCCATTGGTAGTAAGGGTCTTCCTCTACCTTTATAAGTGGAAGTAACTTCAAATATAGTATAAAACTGCCAAGAATAACACAGATGCTCAAAGAACATCTGTGGACTCTGTGTTGCTGTTGTCAGTGTTCTGTTCATTTATATCATCATCTGCATTTTCCACCCCTTCCACTTCCCTTCCACATCTCACTACCATTTCTGAGTACTCTACAAGTGTCACAGCTCTCTACCTCTCCACACTCCAGTATTTCCTAAGAAAGTAGGTCATCTCTTCCCTAACCCCAATGCATCACCCCAATGGTCTCAGTAAATTCAATATTTATTTCTCTCATATAATCTGCAGCAATTAGGGTTTTAATTAATATTGTGAGAATACTATTCTATTTCTGATTCATTGAAATCATCTGTAGTTATGCATTTTGTAGGCAACCAAGTGAGACTATTAATTCTTGTGGGAAAAAAGTGCTGTAAACATCACTAAAATATGCCCCCCAAGACTGTATTAATTATGAATGTTAAATAATCATAAATGGGTTCCGGATGAATATGCTTTTATCATTATAAAATTTATAGTGAAAGATTTTGAGATGTGAAAAAGATACAACAAACATTTCAAGTTAGTGGTTTATTAGTACATAACATTTACATTCCTGGTGGGAATTTGGTGCATGTAAGAAACACATCTTAATTCCTTTTTCCCCTTTTCTCTTCCCTCCTCCTCCAATTCTTTATCCCATTTCCTTGTATTTTTCTATACATACCTGCAGTACAACATGCTCACCTTCCTTGTGTGGAGTTGGTACATGTATACAACACATCCCAATTTCTTTTTCCCCTACCCCTCACTTCTTCCCCATCTCTTGATCCTTTTTTCCCTTGGAGAACAATCTGTCTCTACTTCCAGTTATCTTTTATCTTGCTTCAAGGCAGTGATTTGAAATTTGGCTTATTTAAGAAAATCTTAGCCATTTAATTTCAACATTTGGTCTGTGCATACACACAGAGAGGTATAGATACATATATGTGTATATACACATGTATGCATATTGCATGAATGTGTGTATAACTGCATACATATGAATGTCCATATGTGTGTGTGTACAGAAAAATTCAGAAAAAAGGAAATCCATCATATATTATAGCCTCAATTCTGGCCTTTTTAAAATACCCAATCCATTCAGTTGGAATTAAGGCACTTGGGCAAGATGAAGTGATTTATTTACTCTCTTCTACGTAAGAGAGTTGGGGACTGCCCCCCCCCCCAGAGCAACAAGGAACTGGGAGATTAGCTTCTCAGAGGAAACAGTGACTGTGCAAGAGGAGAGGCAGCCAGAGAATAGATAGCAGAAAATACAAGGCAGAAAAATGGGGTGAGTGAGCAATTAGATAAAGAAAAATTCAAAGGTTTGGAACATGCACTGGATAAGGGAAGAGGAGGAGGTTATTAAGGGACTGGGATTTCTGATATTCATTGGAGTTTCTCCTCTGGAGTGCTTTCGTTTCATTAATTGATTAAATGCAAAATGTTTGAGTTGAAAAAATTTAATCTTGATGAATTACTAAAATATTAACTAAACACTTTTAAATATTATGGTCCATTGTGTATTAAAAGGTGCTTGCCAGTCACGTTGACAAGTCAGCCTGGCTAGAAGCTCAAGTGTGTCAGTTGTTAAAAATGGTTAACCAGCAACAACATAACTTTGACCTGAGGTCTTTGGTGGAAGCAGTTGACACAGTGAAACAGAAAATCACTCTGCTAGAAACCAATGATCGACGATTAGGTATGTCTACTATTTTGTTTCTTTTGTGACCTGTCTGTCTGCAGACACCTAGCCCCATGTTCCCATCTCTCAGGTGAACAAATCTGTCTGCTGTTTGTGAGATTCTGGCTACTCAGGCAGAAATGAGGCTCAGTCCCCCACTGAGGCAGAAATGGAGCAGGAAGATTCCAAAACTAGGAGTGATGATTTTTTTTGATGATTTTTTTAAGCCAGTCTAATTTAGCAGTGGGGTGGGTGGTGTACCAACTTTAGTGACACTAATGTTAGTAAGTTCTGATAACCCACTGCCGTCAGACCAGCCGGAGTGATGATTTTAAGACAGTGGGAAATAAGAAAGTTAAAAGAGAGATGTGGTAGATATGTTTTATGTGGAAAACATAAAAGGGCCTGGCGATTCTAAAGTATTCAGTGGTAGAGCAGCTGCCCAGTGAGCCTGATGCCTGGTGTTCAGTCCCCAACACCTTTAAAGACAAAAGCGCTGTGGTTAGAAAAGTGTGAGCTCACCATACTAATAATGTGGATTACTCTAGACAAATGCTTCAGCACCTTTTCTACCCTTTGTCAGGTTTCACCTTAAGTATATGCATTCTTATTTTTTGATGCTCTTTGCTAAGACATGCTATTCACTGAGTTAACATCAATATGCGGCCCACTTGGGAACACTGAATTTAGTTCATCTTTAGGATATCAATTTGATTGGTTCTCTATAGTCAACAAAATTCCACTTTGAGCAAGTTTTAAAGACATCTTTCAGGTGTATGAAACCTTTGAAACCTTTTTTTTATTTTTATTTTTTTCCTTTGCAGTTGTTTTAGAAGGGGAGACTAACAAACATGATGCTCACATTAACATTCATAAAACACAGCTGAATAAAAATGAAGAGCGATTTAAACTGCTCGAGGGTGCCTGCTACAATGGAAAGCTCATCTGGAAGGTGACGGACTACAAGGTGAAGAAAAGGGAGGCAGTGGACGGGCACACAGTCTCCATCTTCAGCCAGCCATTCTATACCAGCCGCTGCGGCTACCGGCTGTGTGCTCGAGCATACTTGAATGGGGATGGGTCCGGGAAGGGGACACACCTGTCCCTGTACTTTGTGGTGATGCGAGGAGAGTTTGACTCACTGTTGCAGTGGCCATTTAGGCAGAGAGTGACCCTGATGCTTTTGGACCAGAGTGGCAAAAAGAACCACATTACGGAGACCTTCAAAGCTGACCCCAATAGCAGCAGTTTTAAAAAACCTGATGGGGAGATGAACATTGCATCTGGCTGTCCCCGCTTTGTGGCTCATTCCACTTTGGAGAGCACCAAGAACACCTACATTAAAGATGACACGCTGTTTTTGAAAGTGGCCGTGGACTTGACTGACCTGGAAGAGCTCTAGTCTCTGTATACAGAGTAATGGGAGCATGGAGCGTGGAGGACACAATGGATGGATTTAGACTCAATGCACCATTATTGGGCTTCTTGTCTTTCATGTTTGAAGTCAGTTTGAAACTTCCAAAGAACCACTTTTTTTCCTGCACTTTACTCTGATGCAGTTGGAAACTTAGAACTCGAAGACTATCTTATTATTTATATGTTATATCTCATGGAAGATGGTATGTTACTTTAAAGTGAAGCAAGGCTTGTCTCTTATTGGTGCTTAGTGAAGCGTCTCAGATACTTTATCCCTCACCCTGAAGACAAAGGAAGCAGAATTCCCAGCTGAAACTTCTTGGGTATTTATCCACCCAAATTATATCTAAACACAGTGTTGCCTATTCTTGTTGGAGACTGAAATCGTAAGTTGCTATGAAAATGGGAATGTATGTAAACTTGTAATTTTCTTGTCTGAATCCAAACTACTTTCTGAAGAATAGAAATGATCATGTTCTTAGGCGTCTATCCATATAGATCTGGATGTGTATACATATACAAATCAAGATGAGCCCTGTGACTCTCAATAATAAGCCCAAGCTTAACCAAAACAAGAGTGTTTTGCTACCTGGAAATGTACTATTATTGGTCCTTCACGGGTTGGCTCTCCTATCTGAGGATAAATGTCATGACCTCAAGGCCTGAGGGCAACACACATCTTACCATTTATGAACAGTTCACCCTAATGAAGAGCCATGAATTGTATTACTTACTTCTAGGAATGACAGGCACTTTCTTTCTTTCTCTTGTGGAATTTTCAAGATGCTAAAGACTCATCCACAGGAATCATCCCTGAGGACTAAATTCAAAGACAAGAGGTGCAGAGTAAATTTGGGTTAGAGAACTACACTGTGACTCCTGGTCAGCTCTGGTTGGTTCTGGTCAACATCATCTCGGACAAACTCAGCATACATCCTGTTGCTCACAAGGCCAGAACCGGAAGGTGCTGCTTGTTTGTCTCTTTCTAATCATGTCCAAGCTTACTCCGTGTCTCTTGGAAGCAGTAAACCTTGTTGTAATTAGTTTTAAGCAGCTGGTGTGGTTTGTCTGTTAATGAATTTAAGTGTATACAAGGTATGTCATGGTATGGTTTGTTTAGGAATTCAGTCTCTATCACTGATACAATGATTAAGTGAAAATAGTGTTTTGTAAGAGTTGTGATTTTTATTTTTTTTTAAAAGTGGATCCATATAAACTATTTTTCCTCTTACTTTATATAGTTATTCTGTATTAATACATTTAAGTTTTTATTTCCATTTTGGTTTAATGTTGATTGATTCCAGATCAAAAACAAAACAACAATAAAATGTATGAGGTATACAGGGAGCGTACCTGTCCTGGGAAGGATATGTAAGGATTACAGTAAGGTGGGGAGTTTGTGCACATATTAACATATAAATAGATCTGAGTCTGATCCTGACCTCTGGATTTGTGATTTGGGAGAAATAAAGTTTGTAACAGCCAAATTCAAATACAAGTCCTGAATACAAATAAATAGGATATGAGGCACAAAGCCTTCCTGTGGTATCTGGACAAGCAGCCTACACCATCAGTACCTTTCTCTTAAGCTTCAGGCTCAGGTGTCGATGTATCTGCTGTACATTTCTGCACACATTTCCACAGCGAAAGTACTTGAAAGTCCATTTTACAGAGTTTACCTAGAAGTCTCGCCAGTCTCACCACTGTGAACCATGGCTCCTCGAGGTCTTTTACCACAATTAATGACACCATCCAAAGCACAGTCTGTATACTGCATTTTTCTTTAGCCTCCAAATACTTCTTTAAAATTGGCAGTTTGACCTCGTAGTGTATTCTGTTTGCCCCTACTGTATATCAAATCCTTATTTTAAGCCTACATCTTTTTTAAACTCATAGCTGTTCTATTTTCCGTTTTGCTGCTTTGAAATCTAGCATCCATGCTGTCACCTAATCTTTCTAAAATGTAATCTAAGTAGGACTCCCCACTTTCCACCCTGTGGTGCTACCTGAGAATGAGTCCACACGCCCTTGGCTCACAAGGCCTTTCATACCCAACCCTGCCTTTCTAGACATTTCTCCTACTTTGTGTTTAGCAATATCGCCTACACCATCTGGTGTTTGTCTGAGCTTGTGCTGCAGGACTGTTGGAAATACTTTTGTCCCTCCTTAACTCCTTTTCCTGGTGTCTTCTTGCCTTTGAGGTTCAGAAGGGACAATGAAAGAATAAAGGATCTAGTGTAGGGAAATGCACTAAAGATTGTCATGGAAGGCCTTTATGGTGAGTAACACAATGTTTAGTATTCATGTGAAATGTTTTCCAAAAGCCCAGAACTTTGTAGCACTCTTAGAATGTCTGAGACATTTGCTATGAGAAAATATTTTCATTGAACTTCTGGCACAGATGTGACCTGGGGCCCTCCAAAGAGGCCGCCCAAAACTCCAGCTTGGAAGTGAGCAAGAGGAGAAAACACGTATATACTTTTGCTAGCCTGTGATAATCATCAGTGACTGCAGAATCGCAGTCTTACTGAGGGGTGGCAGCAGCAGTTGATTCCCACTAGATCTTTGAGTATGTTGGGGTGGTTTTGCCTCCACTCCTTGGATGAGATTCTGTGAGCTACATTGTGTTGTTAATGAAAGTCCCTTTCTCATACAGAGTAAATGCTATTATTTGTAATAACCTAACCAAATCAAACTGAAACCTGAAAGTTGAGTCAGCCATAGGAAGAACAGGTGGAATGGATGAGAATTCTGGGCAGAGGTCCCTGAGGAGTTGGGTCACAGAGGTGAGGCCAGTGTAGAAGGAGCCCAGTAAAAGAAGGGAAGAAGCATTTGATGAGTTTAGAGAGGTAGTCAGGGCTCAGACTGTAATGCTGAGGCTGTGGTGAGTTTGTGATCAGCTGAAGTATAATGAAAGGTAATGTTAGGTGAAAAGGCAGAAGGATGCATAATCTGATACATACTTTAAAAAGTACTCTGAAACAGACTAAAGAGGGGATGTGGAATTCTGTATCATTATTTGTTTGTTAATTTTACTTTTCTGTCTTGGTTAATTTTCTCTTGTTGCTGAGACAAAACACCTGATATCCAAAATTAGGGAAGGAAAAGTTTAGCGCACTGTTTGTGGAGGTTTCAGTCCATAATCAGCTGGCTTGAGGAATGGCACTGGGGCAACACTTTAAGGCAGCAGCCAGAGCAAAAGGGTGGAATAAGCCTTTTCTCCTCCCTTATTTTTACACAGACCACTCCCTCCTCCAGGGAAGGTGTAGCACTCACAAAATCTGTGTGCCCTCTTATACAGGCTGAGGATATTTACAAAGTAAGGATACTGGCTGCTTGCTGAGTCTCTCAGTTAAAACTAGTAAACTTCTCAAGTTGATACAATGTATCAACCATAACACTCTTTTTAGAAACAAAAAAAGGAAAAATAGAATTAAGATATGTTGTGTATATGTACTTATTCCACATAATGAAATGTAAACATGTGCTGAAAAAACTTATAAATAAAATACTAACCTGAAAATTTTAGAAATATTTCCTACATGAGGTATGTCTTATAATTACAAATACTTCAATCTAATGAGAAAAAACATTGTGATGTGAAATAATTTTATTTCTTCAATCTTCAATTTCCACAATTTACAGTGATACCTTGGCTTATGAGCTTAATTTGTACCATGATTCTGAGAAAGATGGACTCTCTAACACAGTGTTCACAAGCAAAAGTAAAATTTTGTGAACACATTTGTTCATGAACTACACTGGTCACAAACAGAAGTGTTCATGAAATGAGGTGTTACTGTACTCTAAAAAATTAATAGAAAAAGAAAAATCCCACCATGGAAAAAAAAGGGAGGACAAAAGAAAATAAAAAATATTATATCATATTGAAATTGCACTTACATGTCTGTTATTTACTAGATCACAAACTCTTTGAGCCACAAAATATATCTAATTTGAATAGACATGAAAACATGCGTAATTTGAATATGGTGGGTGCCCAGTGTACTAAACTAAAGGTGACTGAATATAACTGCTCACTAGGTTATCTCTTTCATAGATAATAAGACTTATGATCAGCAGGATCCACATACTCTGCACTGTCCTAAGAACAATAAGTATATTAACACAGTGATCTCACAACTGCCTTTCAAGTTAGGTGCTGTTTTGCCCCCATTTTACAAAAGAGGTTATGTAATAAGTGGTCAGTCACATAGCTAATAGGTACTAAAATGAGATGAATCCATTTCAGTGGTTAACTACTGTATATAAGACTGCCTCATGTAGGTATTAATTCTACACACAGACACACAAAGATAAAAATTTAAATTAGAAGAGCCATTAGAATAATAATCAAGTGTGTCAAACCATTACAGGGGAAGAATTGGTGAAAACGAACCAGGAGGAGAAAACAGAATGAGAAAAAAAAAACCTGATAGACATAACTAGAATGAGCTAAACTTTAATGTGGAATATGGAAGTGCAAAAATCTCAACTGGGGGAATGGAACCCCTGTGGGTCATGCATGTAGAACAAACATTCTACACTGCTGGTGGAAAAGTAAACTGATACCATCACAAAAGAAAACTTTAGTAGTATCAAATGAATTTAGTAGTATCAAATGCAAAGCTTTCCAACTTGTAATTCTGTTTCTACACACACAGCCTAAAGAAATTATTACCATATGCCCACAATGCTGTAAGAATGTCCTAGTTCATGTTGTGATGACAAAAATCAGGAATTCTTAAATTACTAGCAGGAGAATCAACTGCAGTATAATCTTCAATGGAATACCATACAGCAGGTAAAGAGAAAAAAAACCAAGAACTGCGTGAGTCAACATGGGTAAATTTCACAAACAGTTACAGGTGACAAAACAAGTTACAGAATGTTTATATTTTAAAACTCAAAACTATACATGTTATGTAAAAACATATGCTTGCAGCATGTATAAACTTCCATGGGAATGGGAACGAGAGATACCAAATTCAAGGGAGTGGATAAGAAGGTTGATGAGATTGCACAAGGATCACAGGGAATGTATGAATGTAGAATACTAAAGTCAGAATCAAGAAAAGGAAAACATTAAAGTTAGGTAGTTCAGAGGTGTTCACTCAATTCTCTGCTTGTAGTATTTCATATTAGACCTTTTAAAGAAAAAGTATGCTCAAGATTCTATGGAAACAAGCTTAATCCCAAGAAATAAGGAATTAATGAAGGCATACATTAATAAAAGAAAAATAACTTTTATTGGTAAAACCCAAAAGCTAGTTCAACAAATCTGATCAAGAAAAAGAAAAATTCCTATAGAACATGGCCAGTTATAGCAATTTCAAAATCTGAAATGGATAATTTTTATAGAAAAATAAAAAGTATCTCAGGAAGCAAAAAAAAAAAAATTGCTACTTAAATGACCATGGAAGCTATTTAAAACAAGTAAAATAACCCTCAACGGTCTTCCTTAGTCACTACACCCAGATAAATTCTTTAAATCCTAAAGAATGGGTCCTCCACATTTTCCAAATAAAGTTAAATCTGACTCACTGTGAGACCCAGCCCAACCTGGCATCAAAACTAGACAAGAGTGCCAAAATAGCAGGCATGGTGGCACACCTTGTAATCCCAGCGCTCAGGAGGCTAAAGCAGGAGGAAGCTGTGAGTTTGAGGGTAGCCTGGACTACAAAGTGAGTTCAAGGCCAACCTGAACTGCATAGTGAAACCCCGTCTCAAAAAGACAAAAAATAAAAAGTACCAAAACAAAACCATATGCCAACAGTTTTTTAATACAAACACACAAATCCTAAACCAAATACACAGCAAACCGGAAACAGTAATGTGCTGAAGTAATACCAAATTTTAACGATAGCTCAGAAAACCTATTATAGGAGATGGAGAAACGGATCATCTCAAAGAATGATGTTGAAAATAGTTGGAAAAGAAACTGCCAGAGAGGGGCTGGTGGTGGGGGGCAGGGGCCCATAGGCTCAACCAGCTATATAGAAAACTGTATCACGAGTTCAAAATCTCCGTCTCCAAACACAACACAAAACATATCTACCAAATACCTGTAGAAAACATCACAAATAAACAAGAATCAATCGAAATAACGTCTAGAAACAAGTAGTGCAGTGCATCGCCCAGTGTTGAGTAGATTCTTGGGAGAAAGCCTAAATTATTATTTATCTACAAAATCAAAGTGAATGTCAAACTATTAGAATATAAAGGTTCACAAAGTGACAATGAAGATCAGTAACCAAAAACTACACTGTGCTAGGATACCGACACAACCACTTAACCCACAGAAAATGACAAATACACAAAATGTCAAGAAAATCCTAACATTTCAGTGAAGGAACCACATTGCTGGACAAGATGGCACTGGCTAGTGACCCGGACAAACCCATCTACAAAAAAATGACAAATTCCGAAAAACCTTTGCCAAACGGTTACGATGTATTGCAGAATTTGGACTCGGGGTTTGAGGACACGTTTTGGGCAGGTGATAATCGTTGGACGCCAACGCCGCAACTGCCAAACACCTCCGCACCAGACGGTTAGCGGGCCCTTTTCTCCCGCCCCAGCTGAGTCCGAATCGAGCGTTTCCGGTCGGCGGACTCGCTCCCCGGAAGCCCCGCCCGCCGACTCGGAACTCAGCGGACTCCTATCCCCACTGTGCGGTCAGGCTTTGGGCTCCCTGGGGCTGGACGCCCGGAGTTCTCAGCGAGCTGCACCGTCGCGCTGCGCCTGTGAGGCTCGGCCTGAACAGTTGTTTTCTTGCAGTTTCCAGTAAGTGACTGCGGCTGAAAGTGTGAGAGCAAACCAGTAGAGGCCGTTGGCTCCCAGTTCCTGCCTCCCCAGGCTCCGTGGCCCACTTTGTTCTTCCCGCGCTCTAGGTCACTCCTTGGACTGACTCCCACCCACTCCAGCTGGGTTTCCGCAGACTGAGGGCCTGTAGGAGCGTTTAAGACGCTTGGGCTGCTATGCACAGCCGCCGCCTTCTCCGGCTTTATTCTGGAGGCTGTGCTCCTGTTCTGGTGCGTGCAACACTTCCTGTTGCGACGGCCCCACCTCCGCTTCTTGCCCAGGACTCTAGGAATAGTCTAACAATCTTACCTCTCAACATCTCTGCTCCTCCGCGCCTCTCCCTCCTTTCCTAAAAGCCCCCCCTATCTTTTTTAACAGTGACAGTTGAAGGGTGCTTCAGGTCTAAGGCACTAAAATAAGCACTTGACAAGCATTTTATTTAATCTTAACAACCGTCCTTAAGATTGTGAGAAAACTGAGGCAGAGAAAAGTTAATTTGCCCACGGGGCTTTGGCTCAGATGTAGTAGAGTTGAAATTCGAATCTTCTTTCCCTTTTGCAAATACTTGTCTCCTCACCACGTTGAATTAGTTCTGATTTTTTTCCTGCAAGCTCTCTAGTACTATTACAGAAAACTGGCTTCTGCTTGAGAACCGTCTGTCCATGGCTCACCTCCCATTGACTGGTGCATGTTCTGCTTGTCAGATACCTAAGCTCTTGCCTTAATATTTTGCGTCTTTGAAATTTACTTTTAGGCTGGAGATGCGACTCACTGGTAGAGCACTTGCATAACATGCTCAAGGCTGTGGGGTTAATCTGCAATCCATTTGTGTCACACACACACACACACACACACACACACACACACACACACACACAGAATGTGCTTATGCTGCCTTAAAGATGTACCCCTCCGTACCTACCTCACATCCCTTGCTCCTTCGTCAGCATGACTTTCATTATTATTGTTCTCAGCAAATATCTGAGCAGCTATTAGGACAATACTGATAGAGTTTTCCAAGAACTCTGAGGTTTAGTTTCAAATATTTAGAGAAATACAACAGTCATAAAAAGAACACATAAAGTAGCAAATAAGTGTTAACTCAGTTGCACAAAAATCCAAATTGTACA